TAACTTACCTGAAAAATGAAGGCGTCTAACTTTACACCAAAAAAAACATACACTTTTTCCCATTGTTGCAAGCACCCGATGACGATTAGGTAGATATCAACTAGAAGCATGTACTTAATGGTTATAAAGCTTATTTTAACACAAAAAGAATAAAGTAAGTCGAAAAGCAGCAATCAAATATAAATAGACCACAATATTAAAATTCAAATTAAAAACTATATAAAAGACAAATACTCTAAAAGCGCAAAAGATCAGAACCAAATAAAATGAATAACCATAATAACCTAAAAATCACACCAAAATTGCAAAAACTATTACTGTAAAATCATGAGATTACATCAATAATGCATATGCGTCAGAGTATCGCAAATGTCAAAAGTACAGTGTTTCCATGAAAATTTAGCTATATTTTTAGCAGTATTATAGGACCATTTCTACCACGCGCATCCAACGATATTGGCGTTCCACAGTTCACTGTATTTTCCTCACACCTCTAGTATAAATGATTTGACATAACGAAACTAACAATAATTATAATTAATGTAGAGTAATAAGTGTTTCGTGAATTCTAAATAAAACAATTATTATATAAAAGTGAAAAAGGAAATGTAATTTATTTCCCTATTTTCTTCTGTAATATCTTCAATTATTATGTTTAATTTCTATAAATAAACCAACTGGTTAGGTGAAACATTGTGATATATAATTTTATTTATGCGTCCTATGCGTACACTTTAATATATAAAACACCTGGAACATTCTTTAAATAATTGTGGTCGTAGAAATAATTGTGTACATAACTCGTTTGAAAGTGTATTTTATGCACTTGCCAAATATATTATCCATACAGATTAATCAGACTATTTTTTTACTTAACTTCAGTACATCTCTTACTACTAAAACTATTTTTATCAATGGAAAAAAGGGCCGTGTTCTCGTATGTTTTGACGCATTTTCGGCCTCAGTCCATCGGATCCCCCCTCTAAATATATATGAATTTTGCTTAGAATTGCTAATCCTACAATTCTCTATTCGTGCTTGCTGACCGGGAAAATAAATACCGAAAATCGTCAGTGTCTCCTGGGCTATACAATAGATGATGATGAGGACTTCACAACAAATACACTTTTATGAATGGCTAGTTGGGGATGTGGTTGAAGTACATACAGGGTGTCAATTTGAAAACTTTCAATGCGAATATCTCGCAAAATAAAGAAGTTGGAGAATTGCCATTTGGCACAAATGTTATAGAGTTAGGGGGAACTATAACCACCATATTTTAGTAAAGGGGTGAGTCACCCCTTAGGCACGACATACCCCAACTTTAAAATGTTAAATGGCACTACCCCTCACCTGTACAAGAATGTTTTTTCATTCAATACAGGATGTAACAAAAACATGAATTCGAATATAATAAACTGTATTTTGGTAAAATGGTGCTTTATTTGATCAGATAATTTAAAATGCATTGAATTTATTTCTAAACGATAGTACAATCGATTTTCAAACTCCGTTATTGTTATTAAGATGATATTTTATTTCATTAGATGGTCAACATGCATTCCATTTTTTTGTAAACAAAAAAAACTTTAAATTCCATTCTAAAATTTTGGAGCACTTATCTGAGAATAAAAAATAGCATTGAATTTATCGAGTACGTACCTACCTATCAATGTTTGTATAAAATTTAGTCGTTTGTGCAAGGTTGTACTGCAAAGTCAGAACTGCGTAATTGAAGAAATACGAGTATAATTTTTATTTTCTGTTCATCATGGTCTACAATTTGGCTGAAAGAATTCAGATGGTGTTTATTTATGGTTCAGAAAATCTTTGTGCCTTAAGAACTGCTGCAGCATTTAATGAAATAAACCCCGGAAAAAATGTAAGTCATACTTACATCAGACAGCTGATTATTACATTTGAAGAAACAGGATCAGTGGCAAACAAAAAAAGGGTCCATCAAAGAGTACTTAATGAAGCAGCACAATTGGAAGTTTTAGGACATTTTGCTATGAATCCTACAATGTCTCTACGCCAAGCTTCGGCTATAACGGGAATTTCTTATAAAGCTGTTCGTCGGGTACTAAAACTTCATAAGTTTTACCCGTACAAAATGCAAATTCTTCAGGAGTTGCAAGAAGGATGACCCCGATCGAAGAATGCAATTTTTCGAGGACATGACCGAAATGTTACGTGTTACTCCCCAGTTGCTAAAAAATGTTTGTTTTAGGACGAATGCACTTTTCATTTAAACGGTTCAGTGAACAAACACAACTGCAGGTATTGGAGTGACGAAAATCTGCATTTCTTCAGGGAAGGGCACACGCAGTATCCACAAAAAATAAATGTCTGGGCGGGAATTTTAGGCGACACTGTGATTGGGCCATTATTTATTAATGGCAATCTTAATGGCAATACTTACTTGGAAATGTTAGACACCACCATTCAACCTCTCATTGTTGAAGAAATTGAAAATCAGCCGGACATTGACGGAAACAGGAATCAGAATGAAAATTTAATACATTTTCAGCAAGACGGAGCACCACCCCACTACGTTCTTCCAGTCAGGCAATTTTTGAATGACGCTTTTCCAGGTCAATGGATTGGACGGAGAGGTCCAATCGAATGGCCGGCGAGATCTTCCGATCTAACACCTTTTGCCTTTTTTCTCTGGGGACATTTAAAATTCATCGTATTTAAAACAAAACCGGATTCAATAGAAGATCTTCGACAACGAATTATTACGGAATGCCGCAATATTCCAAGAGAAGTGTTCCACAATGTTAGAAATTTTTTTGTTCGAATTTTTTGTTTTTGTTACCCCTGTAATAAATGGAAAAAAATTATTGTACAGATGAATACTACTAAATGAGACCTTTCATTTGAGATATCACAAAAGGGGTAGTGCCGTTTGACATTTTAAAGTTGGGGTGTGTCGCGTCTAAGGGGTGACTCATCCGCTCACTTAAAAATGGTGGTTCTAGTTCCCTCTAACTCTGTAACATTTCTTCCAAACGGCGTTTTTCCAACTTTTTTATTTTACGAAATATTCGCACTGAAAGTTTTCAAATTGATACCATGTATAAAACTTCCTAATATCGAAGAGAATTTCTGATCATTTTATTACTTAATATAATAAGTAATATTTTTGCAGGACAATTTTGCATAAACAGGTAAAACACCTTTCCAAGAAAGGATTCTATAACGTAAAAATGATTCTATGAGTGCAAAATAGATTATTTTTAAATGTACATTCAACGCATTATTTGTATGCTTAACCCAGTTATGATGAGAGTCAATTTGTACTCTTAAGGTATTTATTATCATTTGTAATACTTATATGAAACTACTGAACATTACCTTTTATTGTTTCTATAGGAAAAGGCCATCTTTTTGTAACTGTATAATGGAACAACATAAGTTTTATGAAAGATTTGTAGGTTTTTATAATTAAACCATTCAAAAAATTTTATAAGATCTGTTTCTATTAATAATTTTAATCAATTCCAGTTCTTTCTGCATTTTACAGAATAACTGTGTCGTTTGAAAAAGAATATTTCCATCTGTATTTAAGACAAATTTAAAATAAAATTAAACAAGATAGGACCTAAGACAGTATCTTGAGGCATGCGATATGCTACTTATTTCCTTACTTGAGATATTATTAATTCTATTTGTGTTCGTTCTTGTAAATAACTTTGTAAAAAATTATATAGGGTGCATCACATTCATACAATAAAAACAATAAAAACGGCACATGATACAGTTAGTAAAGAATTTATTTACTTATATACTTCAACTGGACCACTTTTATTGTTGGAACAGCTGTTGGTAGAAGTCTTATTTTTGGTTTTGAGGTTCGATCAAAACAATCTGCTTTAAAATGGCGTAAACACAAAAAATTCAGATATTTTGGCTCACAATTTGTTTGTTGCATGAACTCAAGCCATAACTTTGTTTTTTGAGAATCTTTAGGAAATCTGAAAATTGTCTACCTGGGATTAATTTATATAATTTGTAAATCTAGAATCTTTAAGAAGTCTTAAAATGGTTTACTTGCAATCAATTTATAAATCTAAATTGAACAATAATTTATTCATTTTAACAACCACATAAATATCTTAAAATTGCATAAAAGAATTGTTTAAATAAAAGTATGTATATGCTATAAACCATGAGACTACGCCAATGAGCAAAGTTGACCACAGACGCACTTACCATGTTTGTTTACAAATTAAAAACATTAAAAATCTTTAATGTGGTTGAAAGTTAAGAGAATAAAATACTTCCTTATGAAATGTAGATTATTCCTTTCTACTTTTAGCTGTGCTGCTATATCCACAAGACGAACAACTGACCATATTGTCTTGTTTGTCTTTTAACGCGGAAAATTTAAAATTAACAGTAATACTAAATAAATACTAAAACACTATAAACATTTTTTAAAAATGTCTCCAAAACTACACTTGATAAAAGTTTAAATTAACACATAAAACATCCAAATTATTAACAAATTTTAATCACAAAAATTATAAACCAATTTTAGAAACCATTTATCATATGATAATAAGTCATCCATAGTACAACATGGCTACCACTTCCGTCAGATCTATTAAATTAACGTGGACATGGCATGCTCCTTCCTGACTATATATGTTCTAAGTTTTGAACGGTAACGTCCATGTCAAAAAAACGGTGACAGAATTACAGTGCCCCCTGACGGTAGTTATTCATTTTTCAAGTAAGTCCTTCAATAGAAGAAATAAAGAAAAGCATGGAGCCATCCAAAAGTAACAGTAAAAATTAGTCGCATTAAAAACTGTTGGCCAAATTAAGATTTATTCACACAAACTCCATTTTTGCGTTACTAGTTATATGGAACCAGTTCTAAGACCTCATAGAATGTAGAACAAAATGTTGGGTATTGAATTTTTGAATAAGCTGCCACTTTTTTATTTTTAGAGTCATTTATCGCACCAAATATTATGACATGTATTTACCTTGAATAACTCGCTCTAAATACTCCATTTCCATTACTGCATCATAGGTTAGTTCGTTGTTATACTTTTTTAATACCCGATTAATTTCTTCTCGAGTTTTTTCTTGAATATCCGGATTAGTAGCTAGTTCGTAAGACGCAAAATTGATTGTCGATGCAGACGTTTCAAAACCGGCTATAAAAAATATGAAACATTGTGCTGCTATATCGTTCAGTGTTAAACGACCTTGTGTTTCTTTATTTTCAGAATTTGGTTTGTTTTTTAATTCTACTAACAAATTCATAAAGTCTTTTCTAACCACTTTACTCTCTTCTCTGTATTTTACTGTAGATTCTACCATATTATAAAAGAAATGTCGTAAATCTGCTGATAGAGGACTATATTTTAATTTTCTTAGAGTCTCCACTGAAAGAAGCACCATTGGTAAATACCTAAGAATATTGGAAAGTGTAGGTTCCAGTGCTTTTGAACCGTATACTCGGAAGGTATTATTGGGATTTCTCAAGCTGTCAATTTCAAGTCCAAATGCTACTGAACCTAAAAATAAAATACCGAAGGTTTTTATCACGAATATTATTTACAAATTTTTGTATGAATCCTACTTCCTACTAACATATAAATGCAAAACGGCTGAACAGAACTAGATGAAATTTGGTACATAGATGGATTATAGTCTGCACTAACATTTTTATCCTGCAAAAATATACGGTTTCCGTAGTATAGATTTGTTTTTGTTTTTTACAGACATCATTTTTTGCATAGTGGTAGTGAAACATGAAAATTTGAAATAAAATTACTGAGTATCAATAAATAATGACGTGTTTCAGGGTTTTAAATGTTCATATTTTAAGAGGAGGGGGGCAAAGGGGGTTAAAACGTGTATGAAAATATCGATTTTTTTAAAGGTAAGAACTTGAAAATTGAAATTATAGCTACTCAACAGAAATAAATAATGGTGTGTTTCACGGATTTTGGAATTTCTTATTTTAAATGGAAAGGGGGAAAAGGGGAATATGGAGAAAAGGGGGCAAAGGGAAGAAGGGGGAAAAGGGGGGAGAATGGGGGAAACGATAAAACAGGAACAAGGGGAAAAGGGTGAAATGGCGAAAGGGGGAAATGGGGAAATAGAAGAAAAGGGGGTAAAGGAGGAAATGGGGAAAAGGAAGAAAAGGGGGTAAAGGAGAAAATGGGGAAAAGGGGAAGGGGGAAAAGGGATGAAAGGGAAAAAGTTAAAGATAGAGAAAAAATGTGAGAAAGGGGGACATTGGGGTAAAGAAGCTAAGGTTTAAGGAGGGACAGTTATAGTTTGTATGTGTGTGTCGCTTTGTTTAAAGGTAGAAAATTGAACATTTGAATTGTAGGTATTTATCATAAATAAATAGATAGTAAGGGGAAAAAAGGATGTGAAAGTTTGTACAAAAATTTCGGTATTTTTTAGGCAAGAAATTAAAAATTGAAATTGTAACCACTCAGTTAGCTACTTAGTAAATAATGACGTTTTTAGATTTTCACATATTAAAAAGAGGAAAATAATAAAAAATTATTAAAAATCAATAAAGATTTTTAAAAATCAATAAAAAATTTTAAAATTTATTAAAAATTAATAAAAATTAATAAAAATTAATAAAAATTAATAAAAATTAATAAAAATTAATAAAAATTAATAAAAATAATAAAAATTAATAACAATTAATAAAAATTAATAAAAATTAATAAAAATTAATAAAAATTAATAAAAATGAATAAAAATTAATAAAAATTAATAAAAATTAATAAAAATTAATAAAAATTAATAAAAATTAATAAAAATGAATAAAAATGAATAAAAATGAATAAAAATTAATAAAAATGAATAAAAATAAATAAAAATGAATAAAAATGAATAAAAATGAATAAAAATGAATAAAAATGAATAAAAATGAATAAAAATGAATAAAAATGAATAAAAATGAATAAAAATGAATAAAAATGAATAAAAATGAATAAAAATGAATAAAAATGAATAAAAATGAATAAAAATGAATAAAAATGAATAAAAATGAATAAAAATGAATAAAAATGAATAAAAATGAATAAAAATGAATAAAAATGAATAAAAATGAATAAAAATTAATAAAAATGAATAAAAATGAATAAAAATTAATAAAAATTAATAAAAATGAATAAAAATGAATAAAAATGAATAAAAATGAATAAAAATAAATAAAAATGAATAAAAATGAATAAAAATGAATAAAAATGAATAAAAATGAATAAAAATGAATAAAAATGAATAAAAATGAATAAAAATGAATAAAAATGAATAAAAATGAATAAAAATGAATAAAAATGAATAAAAATGAATAAAAATAATTAAAAATAAATAAAAATGAATAAAAATGAATAAAAATGAATAAAAATGAATAAAAATGAATAAAAATGAATAAAAATGAATAAAAATAAATAAAAATGAATAAAAATGAATAAAAATGAATAAAAATGAATAAAAATGAATAAAAATGAATAAAAATGAAAAAAAATGAATAAAAATGAATAAAAATGAATAAAAATGAATAAAAATTAATAAAAATTAATAAAAATTAATAAAAATGAATAAAAATGAATAAAAATAATTAAAAATAAATAAAAATGAATAAAAATGAATAAAAATGAATAAAAATGAATAAAAATTTGCGAGGTATAGCATGAAAAGAATTCTTTGGAGTAACGAGTAATTTTTAATAATTGAGATTTGAGAAATTTCAGCGACGCGGGATCGGGCCAGCTAGTATTATTATAAATCAAACTTACCAATCACATCAATAGTGAACCTATTCATAATATCTCTTATATCAATTGGATTTTTCCCAGCGGATTCCTCGAGTATTTTATCTAAAACGACAGAGCATTCTACAATCGTGGGTTGCATCATTCTGAGCTTTCCAGCCGTAAACGTTGGTGAAACTATAGAACGAATTTCTTTCCATTTTGGACCATCTAAGTTAAATACATTTGCCGATAGTGGATCGATTTTTTCATCATAGTAAACGCCATGAGTGTGGAAATGCTGGAAATCGTTTTGCAAAATAGATTTGACGATTTCTAGATCAATTGGTATATAAGTTGGTGAACCCATGAAATATCCTCCTCCATGTCGAAGACCTGCATACATAAATAAGATAATATAATAATATTTATTGCAAACTCTTTAATTTTGCTAGTATTAATGTAAAACGTAAAGTATTTCTGTTGGTCTACGTAACTGGGTATGAAATAATTAAAAATCTAATAGAGGTAAATCATTCGACGTTATCTTATTGTTATGATTTACTACGTTAACTTTACTTCCTTTATTTATTCAGAGAATTCTGATATCCTTTACAATATTTTTAACTATATTAAATTTCAAATTAGAACTCTTAATAGTAAGTTTCAATCACTATTTTAAAGTAATAGCTGGTCTGGGGTTACTTATTATTTTTTTGCCTTGCCTACACCTCGGCCACAATTTCTAACTCGACTGGTAATTATCAACTTTACGTAGGGCTTTGGTGCACAAATTACTATTTAAAAGCATTTTAAATTTTTACAAAAAAAACCTAAAACAAAATAAATCTTATTACCTTTGGACTTTAATTCAAAATACATTCTTTTGTAATTTTCACCAATTGTCTTTTTACCCATAAACAGATCCTTCACATTACCAAAAATTAATGCTGGTTCTGGACCTGGTACTCCCTTACGTTTCCAGTACCCCAGAGTCCATTTGTGCCATGTCAATAAAGCAATCGCAAGTGCTAAAAAGATTCCTATAATATCGATTTTGAGGCTATCGGTAAAAAACATTTTTCTAAAAAAAAAATATTGATTAAGTAAGAATATAAAGTTATACATAGCCGATTAAGAATTAGTAGTTTAATGGATATGGTCCATATCGCACGAAAACAAAGTTTGAACACGATGCCGTGGGCAATACGGACAATCCATTCGAGTTGTACCATATATTTTTTCTACGACCCACAAATGAAAATTTGCAAATTTTAAAAATTAATTTAGGTTAAGATAAAATAACTAATTTAAAAATAGCTTATTAATTTTACTAAATTACACAAATTTATTTAATTAATCTTCATTCTTAGATTGGAACCCCGGATCTTTTGCATGGCAACTCAGTACTCTAGCTCAGCTCTATTAAATCACCAAGCAGCGCTTATTAATTGTCACTGTCAAATTGATGCAAACATGTCTTTAATGAAACCAAGTGTATTGAATTTAGTTAAGTCAGTTGTAGCTAAGTATATTGTACTTTTTTCTACGACCCGCAATACAGAAACTACAAATGTTTTATTTAATTTAAACATTAATATAAAATTAATTTAAAAATAGTTAAAACAGAGTTTTAAATTTATGACCTATTATCTGTATCTGTAACGCGTGGAGGGTGGGTTTTCCCACGGTACTTAGGCCTCACTAGGCTCATTGTGCATCCTCCTTAATAGATGGAACCTCTTATAATAGAGACGACAGTTAACGTTATAAGAATTTATCTCACTTGCGACGGAATAGCTAAAAAATAACCCTTGTACTTGTGGACTGTGAATAGCCGTTCTGTCGACTGATATAAAAGCTGACTATTTGTTGAGATACATTTGTCCACCCGCGGTATTACATAAATATAATTTAATAATTATATAAAAATTTAAATGAATATACAAATTATCTCCATAGCTTATAATAATTTATACGTCAACAAATTTAAATTAAATATAATATATAACAATTCGGTAATATTTGTAAACGATAGAAAACTCACCTTTAAATCGTAATTCTTTAAAACTAGTAAATATCACAAGAGTTTGTATAGCAGTAACACATATTTTTGTTCTTATCACAAAAAAAATTATTTTTATCAATTATTTTTATTAACGATTTTTGGGTACTCACGCACTTTTATCTTACAACATAAAATAAATAATTGAAATAAATTTATTAATAATTCATCTTTAAATTTTATAGATTTAGCTTCCCAAACAATTACATTTGTTTTGTCAGCTACAGGGGCTACTCTATATTTAAAATGTGATGTGTCCAACACATGACTTTCCGAAAAATTATTTCCAAAGAAAATATTGATATAATTCAAATTTTGCTAATTTTTAATTAAATTTTATAATTTTTCTTATTACGGTTCATTTTATTTTAAAGAAATCGTTCATAAAATAAACATTATAGAAAATTATATCACAAATAACTTTTATTTGGAGAATTTTCTTATCAAACTGAAAATAACAGAGATATTCCTTAAAATAAACAAAACGACTCAAAATTTAGCCAGCTCACCATAGGATAAAGTAAAGCCGAATTTTAAAATTTGGTGTTTTTCTCTTTATCCGTTTTTAAGTTATTTTTAAAATTTGGCCCTTTACGTTTACCGCCAATTACTCAAATACGGTCCATGTTAAGGAAATCATGTAATGAACAAAAGTTATACAGAATGATATCTCAAGAAACTTTTATTTAAACAATTTTCTTAAAAATTTGAATTTTTCACTTTTTGTGAAATTTCTCAAATACAAACTTTTTAAGGAAATCATGTATAAAACAAAAATGATAAAGAATAATATCGCAAACAACTTTTATTTGACATTTTTTTTTAACAAAGATATTTCTTAAAGAATAAAAAGATATCCATATGTTTAAAATTTTGTGTTTTTCTCTTTATCTGTTTCAAAATTAGAAATTTGCACTTGAAATTTGCACTTTTCCACCAATACCTCGAACACGGTCCATTCAAGGAAAATGATGTAAATTACAAAAATTATAGAGAATGACAACTTTTCTTTAAAGAATTTTCTTTTCGAATCGTAAACAACAAATATATTCCATTAAGTAGAAAAATGACCCTCCTCCTCCTCCTCCTCCTCCTCCTCCTCCTCCTCCTCCTCCTCCTCCTCCTCCTCCTCCTCCTCCTCCTCCTCCTCCTCCTCCTCCTCCTCCTCCTCCTCCTCCTCCTCCTCCTCCTCCTCCTCTCTCCTCCTCCTCCTCCTCCTCCTCCTCCTCCTCCTCCTCCTCCTCCTCCTCCTCCTCCTCCTCCTCCTCCTCCTCCTCCTCCTCCTCCTCCTCCTCCTCCTCCTCCTCCTCCTCCTCCTCCTCCTCCTCCTCCTCCTCCTCCTCCTCCTCCTCCTCCTCCTCCTCCTCCTCCTCCTCCTCCTCCTCCTCCTCCTCCTCCTCCTCCTCCTCCTCCTCCTCCTCCTGTGCAACTGCATCAATTGTTCCGCGGCCTCGTCTGAATCCATATTGTGTATTAGGTAAAAGAGAGTAGTATTCTAAATACCGTTCTAGGCGAGTTTTTATCATTTTTTCTAGTTTCTTTGTTAAACAAGATAAAAGAGAAATAGGCTGATAAGAAGTAACAAAGGTGGGATTTTTTAACGGTTTTAATAAAACACAGATCACCACTTCTTTCATCTGTTCCACAAATTCACATTTTAGCCACCAGTTATTTAGAATATTTAAAAGATATATCTTTGCAAAAGTGGGCATATTATAATTTATAATACTATATGTAAAACTGTCGAGTCCCGGGGCCGTACTTTTTGAGGTTTCCATTGTCATATGCATTTCATTATAGGAAAAAGGTTGGTTAATTGTGTTGTTATTTTTAAATCTGAAATTATTTACATAATTATTTTTTTTAGATGCTGAAGCTGGTGCAAAATAATTTAACAAAGCTTTGATCATATCGTTATTTACTATTGTTTTTTTAAATTCTTGTGAACTATTTTTTATAGCCTTTATATATTTCCAAATGTCAGATACAGGAGTGCTTTTATTTAGTTTATCTAAAAATTCTTTCCATTTATTGCGTTTTTTTTTTGTTAAAAATTAATTTAGTTTTCGCATCTATACTTCTATATTTTAGATAGTTGTCAAAATTGGAGTTTTATACTTAATAAAAGCATTTTTGCTCGAGTTGAATATTTTAAAACAATCTTCGTCCCACCAGAAAGGTTGCATTTTAGTTGGTGTAAACGGTTTTTTTACGCATGGAAACATCAGCGCCTTTATAAATAGCGTTGTGCAAAATAGCAAACTTTTCTGAATTGTTTATATGTTTATAGTTAGATGATGTTAAATCTAATTCATTTTGAATAATGTTTCATTTTCGTAGCATTAATTTTTATTTCAACTTTCTTGTATATTAACTAATTTTCACAGGTATAGTTTAATATTGGTATTATTATCTTGTGAATTTTCATTTTTAACTCAGTTTCGATATTTTTACGTCTCAGTAATATTTTGTTAATTGAATTGTTTATTTTGGTTGATTTGTTCGTTCTGTTTTTTAATTTTGTGTCAATTTTTTCATCTTTTTGAGTTTCCCTACTTCTCAAATTATTAGGTTGTGACTCTTTCTAGGGTTGTGATCTTGTTATTCTGTTTATATATTGCCTTTCATTTACAATCTATTTTCATGTCCTCTATTTCTCTGGTCCATAAATTCATTAATTTTTATTTTGTTTTTTGTATTTACCATCTTTATCGCATCATCTGCGCAAAGAAGACCACTCAATCTTACACGTTGTAGATTTTCGTATCCAACTACTGTGTTTAATTTTACCCCTATTTTTTAAATTTTGAATCCTTTGCCCTGATATTTTCAGGTGCTTCTTATTGCGTTTATTAATGTGTTGAACACTTTTTCAAATTTCTCTTCTTTCCACTATTTATATTGCAGCTTTTGAGTCTTTAAAAGTCAAAAACGTTTCTTCCTTCCTCTCAATCTCTCAATCATTTTGAAAAATGTATATATGTTATTGTTTATCTATTTTTTTTTGTGTGTCATCGGCATCAACTGCTATGGTTATTAGCCTCATGTTCTTTGTAGGCTTTGTTACTGTTTCCCAGCGCCACTTTAGGAACAGCACTGTTAATCTTATCTAACGCTGGCCATTCTTCATCTAATATCTGGTCTACATAATCTCTTAACATTTTTTCTAGAACTCTAGCGTATATAGTTTGAAGCTGGTTAAGGTCAATAAATCAATCATATAGGTATGTATTTGTCAAACTCAGTTTGTCTATTCTTATTATTATAAGAATATTATCCCATTCTCTTAGTATCTTTTATTCGCATATAACCCACAGCCCATAGCAAAGAATACCTACCCAAGAAGCGAAACTGAATGAGTTTTCGTATGTACCAAAGCAAGGGAATTTAATACACTGGGAAACGTATAAAAATTAATCAGTTTTTGACGTTTGGTTCATAAGAATTAAACACATACTAAAGTAACAATGACAGAAAATTCTTACTATGCTTATTATGTCAAATAGATTATTTTAATAACGAAATAAGTACTGTAGATACAATAATGATAGTCACTGCAGAATAGCGAAAGCAGATGATCTGGTCATTCTGCAAATAGGGAATTTTGAGAACAATTATGGAACATAAGACAGAAATAATCCTTTTTTCAAGAAAAAGGATGAAAATGAAATTAAAACACAAAACAAAACTTTGCAACAGAGGTGAAATATCTAGATAGCACATGTTCAAAAGAGCATACATTACTTATGAACAATGCCGTCAAACAATAAGGCGCACCTGAGGTTTCTCCCCCAAAGTCGTCACATGGACTTACATGGCCATCATAAGACCTATGCTAACATACGGTGCAGTTCTCTCTGTACCGAAAATTCATAAATTGACAGCTATTCGCAAAATAGAACAAATTCAAATAAGAGCATGTCTCAACATAACAGGAGTCATAAAAACCACACCAACCAGAGCCATGTAAGTCGTTCTTAGTCTCACTCCCCTTGATATTTACATCAAGGAGGTTGCTCTGATGACAATGACATGCCTCTGCACGGTTGTAATAGAACCTGATATACGATCTGGTGAGGCGAGACGCCTCTTTTGGCAAAAGGAGCTCGGTACGCTCCCACTGTTTCAAGCAAACATGAACTTCATCTTACCGATATATATCTTCCATAAACCATATAAAGTTGTAACAGAACAAATAGAAGAGCCGGAAGTGGCAGGAACGATTCATATCTACACCGACGGTTCTAAAACAAAAATGCTCAACATAAAATGAGCTGTGAGCAATAGTGCGCCAATGTAGTTCACGGAGCTCACTGAGATTCTCATAGCAGCAAAAGAAATCACCAGAAACAATATCATTGGTAGGAACATGCTTGCCTATACAGATAGCAGATAAGTACTACTTACCCAGAACTACGAACTTAATCAGGGTTAGTACTAGAATGTCGCAAGGCTTTGGCAAGAGTATCCATCCAACAATGCAATGTGGGTACCTTAAGATGGATCAAAGGTGACGCCACATCGAAAGGTGCTGATTCACTAGCCAAGAAGGCAGCCAACCAAATACTTTTGGACCTGGTCCTTCTATTAGACTGATAACATCGGTAGTGACAGACCTAATTAAAAAATATTCCCTTGTGAAATTGAAGGAAAGATAGGATGAAACAAGAAACTGCTGAGTTACCAGGGAACTTTTAAGTTATCCTGACAACACTACAACAAACAAATACTTGACTATGACTAAACAGAATATGCGTCTGATCACAGGCATTTTGACTGCTAATTACCAAGTACGGAGGCATCTCCATATCATGGGGCTGTCAGAATCCACACCCTGCAGGGGATGCGAACAATAGGATGAGACCAATGAACATATCCTCTACGATTGCCAGTCACTCCCATTTATTAGAAGATTTTTTCGGCGAGTATTGCTAACACCGGCCGATATAAGAGAAGCACCTCTTGGCTACGTCGTCAACTACATTAAACCTGTAGGCTGGCTCACGAGCTAGGAGGTGCCTATCATTTTAGGAGGATACACAATGGATCTAGTGAGGCCTAAGTGCCGTGGGATAACCCACCTTCTACACGTTACATATCCAAAAGTACTGTAGGTAACTGAAAATGCATTTTGATTGCATCCTGATAACAGCGAATTGGTTCCTCGAAGTGAGTTTGGCATATATTTTAATTATTGTTTTGTATTATTGTTTATTTACTGTTTTAATTCGAATGGTTTGAAAAACAAAAAATAACATATTTAAATAAAAGACTAAGAAATTAAACGATGCATAATACGTAAGCATAAATTATTATTATTATAGGTAATACTGATTTAAAAATAAAAAAAAACATTGACAGCCAGATTGAATAAAATTTACGAATAACGCAATGTATTTTTTTTTCTTGTAATACAAATTTTAAAACTATCTAATTTTTAATTACTACTTAGTTAAATACAACTATTTACTTAACTATGCTGCAATTTTCACAAAACGCTAATAATAATATACCAAACGTTGCTCTACATAAATGACAGCTATATTTGACGTTAAACCACCTCTAAAACACTGAGAAAACTTGGCAGTTTTTTGTCCACGACTCGCCCATTTAGTTTCGCTTCTTGGGTAGGTATTCTTTGCCCATAGGTATCCACTCTTTTAAGACTCAACTATTGCATTTCTATTTTGATTTTTTGTATGATTTTTCTCTATTTCTCCTTGTTGTTTTTTGTTCTTCTACTATGTTTATAATTAATTTGGAATATATTGAGTTAAATTTATTTCCACGTCTCTAGTATTTTGTTTGTATCTGTACGTTATCTTTCATGTTTATCTTTTATTGATTTTATTTCTTTCTCTTTATATCCTCTAAGGTTTTTATTCGTTTCCAAAACTTTCTTTGGTCGAATTTATTCTCAAGAATACTGACCACATTTGATATTGTGGATATTTCATTCTTTAAAAAATTAAATATTAATGGATAGTACTAAACATTTTTTTTTATTTATAAGGTTTTCTCCTGTGGATCGATGGACATGGACAATGATGTAGGGCAAGCCACCCTGCTCACAATATGGATACAGGAGGATTGGTTAATGAGTGTAGTAATAACGAAAAAAAAAATAACATTTTAGAAATAATTTTATTAGAAAATTGTTAAACATCATAATTATTTTTACATTTAAAACCTCTAGGTTGTATATTACATGAATTAGGTACTTTACTGCCTGAAATTCCAATACCTGAAAGTTCTACATTTTTACATTTGGCACCACAGATGATATACACTGCTCTTGCGTTTGGCTCAACTGTACCAGAAATCTTATTGTAACGAATATTTTGTACAGCTATGTTATTGTTCGGATGACCATTGTTACCATAATCCATTTGAATGTAAATTCCTTGTTGACGGACACCTATAAAAAAGAAAAGAGAAAGACAATATTTATTCTATGTTCTGAAATATGGACAAACTTTGCTACAGAGCACATTCAGTTTTTTTTTTCTAAAACAACATTTTTTATGTCAATGAATTTTATACTGAAATATCCAAACAATGAAATATTTAGAGACTTGGTGATTGTACGTATCTTTTTTGATAAATTAAACTGAATATGTTAATAGGTTATATCTCCTGTCATTGCTAAAGTGTACCGCCAGGATCTAAGACAGCACCACCTGCAACGAATATTTTGGCAAGAAGACACGACAGAACGTTTAAGAATCTATGAATTTAACAATCTTACCTACGGACAAGAAGCAACAATTTTCTTTTCTATATCTATGAGATGATTATTCCAATTGGTTCATAAAATTGAGGATTGTAAACTTCGCATCGCGATTTTTTACATCGATGAACTTCTTAAAAACTCACTGGAGGAAACACATCTTTTTCTTAAAATCTTATGTATTCTAAATAGTGGCAAGTAAGCCAGAACTTTTAACAGATCTTGACCTCCTTGCGACTTAGCTTACGACAGGCCTGCACAACTGAGGTTTTTAAAGGGCCAGTTCAGAAAAAACCGTAGGTGTACGAGGTCTAAGAACGGATGTTGTAGGCGAAGGAATGTATAGTTTGACGTAGGCGAGCCAAATTGGTAAAGGGACAAAGAGCCAAGAAAATGACAATGGCAGACTGCATGTTGTGCAGGCCTGGCTTACGGCCTTCTAGAGTTTCAGGCAGATGATAAGACTCATACTTGGGGATTAACACGGAAATGTCAAAATTACCAATTATTAGTTTCATATCAATAAAATTTCGACTGATCAATTTATGATCCCTTGATCCTTTCATTCCATGATTTTACAGTTTCCTTCTTATGCGCATGTGTAGTTTGCATTTATTTACGCAGGTTTGACCAAATAGGAAATAGCGGAAAGGACCATGTTGACTCATATCTGATTCTTCAATCTGGCCAATCGAGAACCCAACCATAGATATATTATTATAATTTAAAGCCCAAACTTAAATGACCCAATCTATCACTGGCTCAGATTATCGATTTGTACGCTATTCAAGCTTATCTAAAATTCAGAAAGTTACTGCCTATATTCTACCATTAAAGCATTATTAACAAATTAATCTTAAAATAACAGAATTTCTTTTCTCACTATTAACCTTAGAATCAAAGTTTTTTACTCTAACGTTATTAGCCTCACATATCTTTTAGTCCATATACAGTGGTGGAAATAGATTATGTCGAGCCTTATATAGCTAAGGACTAATAGAAGGGCGGCTACAAATGTCCTAAGGCTTACATAGTATTATTTGTGTTTCAATTAATTGAAATAATTTATATTCCTTCCTTCCTACAAAAACAACACTAGTAGCCTTTTCAAGGAAAAGAAAACTTAATCTCAAAACCGTTAAATTAGACGGGATAGATATGGAATGGAAAAACGAAGTCAAATATCTAGGCCTAACCCTGGACAACAAACTTTTCTGGAACAGACACGAGAAGGAAGTAGTAAATAAGGCCACAAAAGCCCTAATGGTATGTAGAAACATTGCAGGTAAACGATGGGGATGTAACCCAAACATACTGCGATGGATGTATACTGCAATAGTGAGACCAATCATCACTTACGGGGTTATAGCCTGGAGTAACAGAACTAGTTTAGCTACTACAAGAGCTAATATCTTAAAAGTACAAAGCCTAGCCTGTGTTTGCATTACTGGTGCAATGAGAACCTGTCCTACGGCCGCAATTAAGGTGATCTTAAACCTCACCCCTCTACATTTAATGATAGAGAATGTGGCAAAAAGGACACGATATAGAATGATCAGGAACAGAGCAATCAGACGAAAGTCTACTTGCTTCAGGACTAAAGATACCTGGGACATGCCCCAGGATGAAATGCTAAAGAAGTACAGTTTTGTGAAAAACTTCAAAACCACAGGCCTAGACTGCAAGAAAAAATGAAGCCAAAAATCAATCGCGCTTGCAATCGAAAGACGTGCGATTCAGTGGTATACGGACGGTTCAAAATCATAGAAGGAACTGGAATAGGAGTGTATGGGCCGAGAACCAAGAACTCCGAAAGCTTGGGAAAATACCCAAGCATCTTTCAGGCGGAAATTCACGCCATCGAGAAGTGTATCCAGTTTAACATCGAGAGAAACTATCATACGAGAGAAACATATCCGATAGTCAAGCAGCCATCAAAGCGCTGAGCTCTTATGTAATCAGCTCAAAAATGGTCTGGAGATGACTAGAACAATTGAATGAGCTAGGCGAGAAAAATGGTTACTTTCAGTTGGGTCCCGGGACATAACGGGGTACAGGGTAACGAGATTGCAGATAGTCTTGCAAGGAAAGGGGCTCAAACAACCTTTGTAGGACCTGAGCCGTTCTGCGGTATCAGCAGTAACATAATATTAGGAGAGATTAAAAAAGAATTGGGCAGTAGAAGAACCGATAATTGGAACAATCTCTTGGGGTTGAGACAGGCCAAGATACTTCTGGGTCAATATAATCAGAAAAAATCGAAAGCCTGCATCTGCCTGAGCAAGAACAGGCTACGTATTGTAACAGGGATACTAACCGGGCATTGCCGACTAATAGGACACCTAATTAAACTGAGAGTAGTAGAGGATAGTGAGTGCAGATTCTGTGAGGAGGAGGACGAAACCTTCATTCACATCCTAACTGAATGTGTAGCACTCCAGAATCCAAGGGCACTATATCTAAGAGGATATCAAATAGAAGAGGGAGATTTACTCAACTTGAAGCCACTTCAAATCCCACACTTCCTTGAGGAAAGGATTGGAAGGGTAGTTATAGGCATTGAGACATTTCTTTAATGCATTGACGACAGAAGGGGGTACAATAGATCTTTTAGGTCGCAGTGTATTAACACCCCATTCTCAACATAACATAACATTCCTTCGAATTATTTATTCAAACCTTACATAATAGATTTGTATACAGACAAGGTAAGCCAACAAAAATCTTCTCTAATAATAGCACAAATCTTGCTGGTGGGCTTATACCATCTTTAAATTCCAATAATGCCAATAAACAATTCATAAAAATTGCAATATCCGTGTTCATAGATTGAGAACTCATTCCTCCCTGTTCCTCCTATTTAAGTATTCTTTGGAAAATTGGTTGGACTGCCAAGTGCTTCAAATGCCATTTAGGGCGTGTTTTATCTAATAATACTTCTCTCTTTTTGAGGAGTCACCTGCTATTTGCAAACAAATATAAAAGGATTTTGAATTCCCGCTCTATTTTTCCTCTAAATACAGTCCTAAATGGCCGCCTTTAACCTCCAGATACTTCATGATTGGCAAGTAGGATTTTTGGTTAGTTTTGTTAGATTTTACTAATAACTTTTATATTGTTAACCTGCAGAGAGCGAAACTAGTAGCCCATTTCAATTGCTAAACACGATTTTAAAATGTTGTGGCAAATCACTTTGAGTTTTGTTTTTTCGTAAAAATAAAAATTAATGATTTACTCCACTTAAATAATTATTCGATCATTTTATTGTTGTCTATTTATAATAAAAAAAAATATTAGTTACCTTTAAATACTATATTATTAAAAGAAATATCAGTAATTTCACCAGGTCCTCCATTAGCCATTGCGATAATTTGAGCTCCTGTAAGCCCTCCTTCCATAACGCAGTTGTGAAAACTAATGTTTTTGGTGGTATTCTCTTCGTAACTAGTACGACTAAATCCAGCCGTAGCACAAATACCATTAGAGTTAACGCAGTGAATTTTATTAAAAAACATGTTGGAACCTTGGTTGACGTACAAGCATTGATCTTGATTATGAATGAAAACATTGCTGATATGTACATTTTTGGACCATGAGATGCCAATTCCATCCGTGTTTCTTCCACCTCTCTGTTAAAGAAGATACACGGAAAAAAAATTGTAGAACAAATTTCTACAATTGTAAATTTTTTCTCTACAATAAATAGTACATATAGGGACAGGGACAATTTGTAGTAAAAATTTCCAAATATTTGTGGAGAATGTATTGTAGAGTTATTATCTACAATATTTAGTAAAAAGATCCAAATGCATCATAAGAATTGTTCTACAAATTGTTATAATTTTTGCTATTCATTGTATGAATTTATATTAAAAATGTATTGCGTTTTATGAAAATAAATACGAAAATTTTACACAATAAATAGTAAAAATTCATACAAATTGTAGTAATTTTTAATAAAATTTGTAGTAGTATTCCATAATTATTATGATTATAACCTAGAAAAAAATGTTCCTTATTAAAATATTCAATTTATTGTTTTAATATAAAAGATACAAATTCTAAATTACATTATGTAATAAATAACAGTAATAATAGCGCCCTCCGTCTCAGTTGGCTTTCTGCACCTGAAAAATATGAAATAAAAATTAATAGGCACCAATTGAATTGTTCATACCCTTAAAACGGGGATATTTATCACCTTTACACTGATTTGGATATTAAATGACTAAGTCAGATAACTAACAAAAATGAGAAAATAGGTATGTTACAATTAAGACAAAAAACATCATTGAACTTGGCACAAAATTCGATCGTTGGGCACAACATTCGTTCGTTGGCCACAACTATTTTTTTTAAATAATCTACTAAGGTTATTTAAATAAGTTATCTAAAGGTAAATTATTCAGAAACATTAATAAATGTACTTACCACCAATAGAATTTATTATTAAAATTTTCTCAAACGCATCGGTGCTTATAATATAATAATGTGTTATAGGTACTCGTATATGTACCATGCTTTGTTATGTGAACATGGCGAACGGCTACTACTGCTGTCTGGCCGTTTATGATCGACGTCAGAAAACGTTGGCCAATAGCAGAATTCTGTTTTGTTCACATGACTTAGAATTTCTACAATATTATAGAATATTTTTGAAGAAGGGATGTAAAGTATTACTATTTTTTGTAGAGAAAATTACTATTTTTTGTAGAGATAATTATTAATATTTGTACAAATTTTTACAGAAGTTAGTAGTAGTAATTACGATAATTGTAATAAATTTCTACTTCTACAAACAATAGTAAAATATACTAAACATTGTGGACTTCTTTCCTATTGTTGTAGCATTTTATTCGACAATTCAATTGCTACAATAATTAATAGTTTTTAACTATAAATTGTAGTAAAATTTTCTACAAATTGTTAAGTATTTTTCTACAAGTCTACTACTACAACATTGTAGTAAAATTTTCTAGTCACATTTTTTTCCGTGTAATGTTGTATTATATTTACACACAGTTATGGTTAAATATATTCATGAAAAATATATCAAGATTGCTTATCCCTTAAAACTGCCACTTTAAGCTTTAAAAAAGGCGATAATAAACATATATAGATAATTTATCAGTCTGTTGTTTTACCATGAAATTTTGGTAAACTATTAGAAATGGTCGTTACAAAATCTAGTCACAACGACCCCCAAATTTATCAGAATGGTTGTATCACAAAAAAAGTAAAAAAAAATATTATAACCACAAACACAAAAAAATAGACAAAATGGAAACTTAAAAAATAAAAACAATTATACGAATAATTTATAAGTATTTAATAGGGCAAACATGTACCAAAATGATAACAATATAGTATCTGAATTTGAAACAGAAATCAATATGATGAAAACAAGTCATGAGTTTAAAGAAGTATTTGATGCTCATTCAAAATTACAAAGGTTTAAATTTAAATTTTAGTATAAATTAATCTGTTGTGTTAAAACATTTCAAAAGCATGATAGTAATATAATTAAAATAGCAACCAACCTTATCTCCATCGCTGCAATCAGCTCTCCACCAATCGATTGTAAGATCAGTAGCTCTGGTAATACCAGTACAAAACATGGGACAATTCTTTAAGTTAATATTTTGGAATTTTGCATTGTTAACGTTATTAATTTCCAAAAGTTTGGACTTAGTTCTACCTCCGCTGCCACCTTGACCATCCCAATATAGTTCGCCATGTCCATGAATCAGAGATCCTAAAATAATTTATTGATATGAAATTTAGAAATAAAAATTAATGTTCCAATATCTAGATTTACTTGGACGGCATTTTAAATAAATCTCGAAAGAATATGTTTCTGACTGCAATTTATTTATTAGAGTATTTATACATAGTGCTGCTTTATCAGGTTAATTATAGTTTTGCAATAAAGAAATGTAAAAAATTATAGAACCTTCTATGTAAAATATTAATAGCACTACCAACAAAATATGAAATTTTATTAATGTTTAATAAAATCATATTAGTTTTAGAGACATAAAAGGTAAATTTAAATTTCTACAAATTAGGTCGAGTCACTAGACACAAAGAAGTTGATCATACCCCAGACCAGTTGATAATATCCTCACATTATCTGAGGCAGTAGTCCCTTGTGCTTAATGGTTTTATGTGCTCGGTGACTTAAACTTCTTTGTAATTGTAATTCTAAACCACGTTTTGAATAAAACATTTACTGGTAAGTGCCGACACGGCATTTTCGATAACTAAAATATTTGGATATGGCAAGATGGAGCATAGCAGAGGCCAAGCCAAAGAGTGCAAGTGCAATAAGAACAGGACAGAAACTTTTATTTTATCACATGTAATGCAAGTATATTATGATTAATAGATGTTTACAGATCTGTCAGTTAGGATTTACTTTATTATTTTTTTGATTAATTTGTCGTTATACCTAGTCACAATAATATTCATTTACTAGTTTTAGGAGTTTTTGAATATTTTTTGTGTTTTTTATAGTTACACCATGATTTTTATTTAGTAAAAAAAGGAATTTTAGTGATGAAAGTGCACTGAAAGATTTTTATTTCCGCTTTTGTTGCCGGGAATTTACATTCATAACATCTCAGCTAGCAACTACACGTCATTATGACGTCATTTGATGATAACAGAAGAAACGCGACGTAAAATGACATGGACATTACTTCCCAGAGACGCCAATCTGGAGACGTTGCTGAAATGTTAAAATGTCGTCTGAAATACGTCATTTTGTGGGTTTTCTAATGACGTAACGTCTCTGGGGTGTCTTAATTCTGACGCAGTAAACAATAATTTTAATTCAAAGTTAGTAGACAAAATTTTGGGGAAAAAACTTTTTAAACATGCTATTCAACAAGTTTATCCCATAATTAAAGATCAAAATTGCAGATATAAGACTCTTACATATATAGGAGCTCCTAGTGAAAAGGTATTATCATATTTAAAAAACCAAAATATTAACGTAGCTTTCAAAACCAATAATACGCTTGGGAAGTATATTAAAAACAATAAGGGTAAAATTAATCCTAATAATAAATCGGGGGTATATAAATTAAATTGTTTTTAGTTTTCCAAAATTGTATATTGGTCAAACAGGTCGTACTTTCAAAAAGCGCTATTCCGAACATTATAACAGTTATACAAAAAACAAAAATAATTCTACTTACTCAAATCATATGTTGGCTGAAAATCATTCTTTAACAGACAACTTTGAAATTTAACATATAGAAAATAAAGGCATTAAACTAAACCATTTAGAAACACTTCAAATAAATAGATTTAAAAATTCAGATAACCTACTAAATGATCAATTAGATATTAATAACCCACCTTTATTAAATCTCTTTCCTAGTTTTCTGTGAGATAATCCCGGTAATGATACTATCTTATTGTTATCGGATTGATATCATAATTACTTAAGTACCCTTATTTACTTTAAATAGTCAGTTTATTTTATGTTATTGATGTATTTTCCTAATTATTTTGTTTGGTTAAATTACTTATATATATATTGGACACCGAATTGTAAATTAGTCACATTTGAAAAAAAAGTTATACTTCGAAATATGACATGTGTAGTGTTTTTAATTTTTATTTTTTTTAAATAAAAGTTTTGTGAAAATCTTCCACATTTGGTTTAACTCATTTAAGATAATATGGATTTTCATCAAGGAAAGGCCGAAACAATAAATAACTTAAATATTTTGTTAATATTTAATTTGCTTGTAAATTTATGTGTGAATATATTTATAAATTACACTGGTCAACAATGATTTTGTGGATGGGGGTTTAAGAGCGTTTTTGGGTGATCGTTTTACCAATTTCAAATCGCTTATCCGGAAGAACAATGACGCAAGTGCATGTTTTACTTTTAAGGCCTATACATCTTCGATTGTTTTAAAAAGAATAAAATTGTTTAGTTCTGTCTAAAACTAAAATAAATTTGCTATCTCGAAATCCCCATCGATTATTTCCAAACTTTTCCTTAACGTCTTAGTTGTAAGTTTCAATTACATTTTTTTGCTATTTGCTATTTCTGTGGAACTACTAATTTTCACTTGCGTCATTGTTCTTCTGAAAAAACGAAATGTTACTCACGTTTTGCTTGACTGGCTTTAGTTTTTGAGTCGAAAGACATTAATTTATTGAATCAGTTTTGTCTGAGTTAGCTAAAAGGCTATATTCTATAAACAATAAAAAATAGTGATAAAAAACATTTTTTATATGATTTTCTTTTATGCTCAATGTTAGGACTTTATAATTATTGTGTCGTTCGTAGATTTATGTACTAAATAGAGCACTGATTTTGAAAGTTGTTGAACCTTGTAGCAGACTAACTGAATATGTCTGCCATAGATATACCACTTATAGGTCTATCGATTTAGTCTTGAGCTGTTTCTAAACAAAGAACGGAGCTAATAAAAACTTCCTTTCAAGGTGATTTATTTCAACACTTAGTGCCAGTCGAGAGAACATACAGCCAAGATACATTTGGAAGTCACTATATATAATAATACTATTTTTTTTTTTTAATTTGTTTTCCAGTGTTATGGATTGATTTTCTCCTGATTAATGATTTCCTTGTTCCTTAACTCAATTTCTTGCAACCTGTTGATAGCTTTGATGAAATTTTGTAGAAAAGCTTGTTCGAATTTTGAAAACTATAAAAATATTCAGCTATTTTTATGGTTATAAATTTTTACACTTAGTCTAGACATAGTAACTGGTAAAATATGCTTATTGCGTCCAATTAGAGGTACTTAGATTACATGCAACATTTTCAGAAGCTTATTCCTTTTTTGTCTTCTACTTACTTGGAACTTTTCAATTTATTTAAAACATTGGGCATTGTTATTAGTTGTTATTGTTTATATACATTGACATAACCGCACATAACCAAAATATTGACCTAAGTCCTTAACTACTTTTTATCACCTTCATCCAAAAATTGTATTTGTACGGTTTTGTCAATTGAAATAAATTTTCATTATGTTTAATTTTTTGTCTTTTATCATGAATTTTTATTTTTAAATAAATTAAAGATGTTTTTAACTTTAATGGGTAGGTGATACATAGTAGAGGCCACGTGCCTCATCGAAAAGAAGACGTAGAGGGCGTATCTGCATAGCATTAAAAATTGATTACTTCATTAATCGTCAGTAGATGGCGCCCGAGATTGCATCCACTTTTTACTGTAGCATTGTTCTACCACAGCTTATACAATAAGAACCACAGCTTAACAATACAGCTCCACAACTCCGTGTCGGCGTCTTTGATCTGGCGGTCGAGAACCAAGCAAGACGGAATGGTGCTATCTCTGTTAGATTCGAGGGAAAAGTCGGGCCCGGATTAAACAATTTTTTTATTATTGAAAAAATTGAAAACCTTAGCGTAATAAGGTTGGTTACATGCCATATTAAGTAAGTTTTGGGAAATTAAATTTTTAATTTGTTTTAAATCTGTCAAATATAATTAGAAACATTATTTAAATATAAATATTACGAAAAATAGCACATCTTTCCGATTAGAGGTAAAATAATTTGTATGTGGCTAGTAAAATCCTCGTTAACAAATGTTTTGAGCTAAAACAGTCACTTCACGACAAATTGTGGCTAGGATCCTTTTTACACCAAGGGCTTCAATTGTTAAAGAATTGTGTCACGCTCGTGGATGCAAATCAAGTGGTACCCCGTGTCTCTGGCAAGTGTTACTCTTCGCGCAAAGGGTTTATACCTAGATAAACGAATGCTTCGACTGAGGTCTGGGTACTCTATGGTATTTTGGAATTATAAAGAATTTGTGCTTTTATTTTAACAATATTGGTTATATTTAGATGTATTCTTATTAATTGAAATACAGATTTGTAGAAGTAATACTTTGACAGTTTTTATTAATATAATATATTCAATTTTTATCTGACCATACCGAAGTAGGGAATTTTGAAACTTTATAGTAATGTGAAATTTTAATTACAATATTCCACGATATTACATAATTAGTACTTATTTTAGGTAGGTACTAAATTTGTACTTGGAGAAAGTAATATCGATTTTTACAAGAAAACTTGAAAAGTAAATTAATTTAGTTCCTATTTCTGATGTAAAACTTAAGTTTTGGTTTAAACCAAGAAAACAAATAAATTATAGTTTGTTCAACAAGGGTGAATATGATAGCAATATCACACAAAGACGAAGTTTGAGCACGACGTCGTATGCTGAGTACTCAATCGTCTGATTGTGATATGAACAATCCACTCAATATGGTCAGTATATTTTTTCTACGACCCACTAACGAAAATCTACAAATTTAAAAAATTATTTTAGGTTATTTAGACAAAATAACTAATTTTAAAATAATTTACGAAGTTGACTAATTTATAAAATAAAATTACCATGAAAAATTAATTAGTCCTCGGCCTAGATTCGATCCCGGGCTTTTCGCGTGGAAGGCAGATGCCCTGTCCTCATCTTCACCGAAACTTTCAGGACTTTAGTTTTAATAATCGTAATTAAATTATTATCATGTAGTTTGATTAAAATTTATTTTTTTTTAAATGTGGACACAATAAAAACAAAAATGCTATTATTTATCGAGTCTACACAAAAATTTTAATGTATATTTAATATCAATAACTAAAATATATATTGACAATTAGTTTAACAGAATTGTCACTTATTTAAAAAAATTTAAATAATAGGAGTTGGGTGACCAAAATATGAACTGTGATTTGTAGATTTAATTTTGTTAAAGTGTTCTCACTACCTAAAATGGATATGAAATATATTCGTAGTTGAACGCAATAACATACTTTTTCGTTTTGTAGTATGTGCATAGATTGGCTAATATCCATGCACAGATTACAAAACGAAAAAGTATGCTATTGCCTTCAATTGAACGAATATATTTCATATCCATTCTAGGTAGTGAGAACACTGCAAAAAAAAATAAATTCGCCAATCACCGTTCATATTTTGATCAACCGACTGCTATTATTTTTAAAATTTTAAATAAATGACAATTCTGTCAAACTAATTGTCAGTATATTTTTTAGTTATTGAGATTAAACATACAATAAAATAAGTTATTCTTTTGGAAAACGTTAGCATGGATGACTAAAGGGTATTGGGTTAATTAATTCTAAAAGTGTGGTACAAATGTTATTTTTTGTAGCCAATTCTTCAAAATTATTTTGAAATATCTTTTCAATATTGAATATCATATGCCTTTAAAAAGCAATAAAAAGAAAAATCATCTAATTCAACGTGATCTTTGTTATATTTAAGACAGGTATCGCAGAGGAGTGGATCCGCAAGGCTTTTATTAAAAGGTAACCACACACATACCTGATAAAATTTTTCTGTATCAATTCGTCTTTACAATAATTTAGGGAGTTAATAATTTTATCATAAAATAAAATACAAGGTGTTCCATTTAAAAAACATACATTTTAATTTGCCAGGCAAAAACGTGACACCCTGTATATCCAAAGATATTTTTAAAATATGTAGGTATTTTTCAAATCCATATAACTTTTATTTAAAACTTTCTTGCGTGTCTACAACAAAATAATGAACAATAACGCACTAATGGGATACCCTGTATAAATTATATTTTTAACAATGAAAATTTCTTATAATGTGGTACTTATCGGTTTGGGTCCTTGGGAAAACTAAAGAATGTTTTCTTGCAGGTATAACCCTTATTGAAACAGCTTTTGACTGCACAAACAGAATGATGTCTTTTTTTTTCACTCATTCTACTCATAGCTAAAGAGTCACCAAAATAATAACAGTACCTTTAACTCAAACAAAATCAACGAAATTATAGGCTCCACGAAATTATACAATCAACGAAATTATAGGCTCCACGAAATTATACAATCAACGAAATTATACGCACGACTCAACACCTTACCTAAGTACGCTTCTGAACACCAAAACCGTCTTTTCCCTTCGAAGGCGGAGCTTAAGCGATGCGCGACGAAATCGACGCAAACCGTTGCCGCCAAGAGAGTGTTTTAGCTGTATTGTTAAGCTGTGGTTCTACTATAATATCTTCATACAACGCTTATATCTACGGACAAGCTCGTAAAATTATAATTAATTTTCCTTAAGGTAAATCGATTAATTTTTTAATTATAGTATATTAAAAATACGAAACAATCCTTTACTTGCGATTCATTCGCCAATTCGTCACTTATTACATAAATAACCATTTAAATATACGAATAATAGATATGTAGTTTAAGGTCGATTCCACCGTTGTGTTAAACGGAGATTAAAATGACATTGTTAATGTAAAAATGTCATTTTAAACTTCGTTTAACACAACGGTGGAATTGGTTCTTAGTAAAATAAGAAACAAATACCTTTTTCTCCTATAACATTGATCCTGTTACCAGATATGGTGATCAGCCAATCATCCAACGTCCCTACATCGAAGCTTGTTGTTCCTCGAAATGTCAGAGTTGTTCCTTCTCTTAAATTAAGTAACAATTTTTTGTTAGCTGGTACTCTGAGATTGTTTATAACAATATTTGTACAGCTGCTTACTACCGATGCAACTTGATTATAATCTGTTATTGTACAACTGGCTGTGACATTTAATGCTGGTTCCGTTTGTGGAAAAGCGAAAACCAGAAGCGGAGAGGAAAGAGTAAATAGTAATTTTAAAAGCAACATCGTTATAATAATATAGTGTGATATGTATTACCTTTTTATATGACTACAGATATTACAAGTACTAACACTACTTTAATTTGATAAAAAATTGTTTTGATGTGGATTGTGGGTATAGATAATACTCTAGTTTTCTATTGTTCTATTTATGAAAAATTGCATCATAAGATTAAAGGACGGTTATCTAGAGTTCAAAGTATTTTTTTAAATATACAGGATGTACCCAGATGGACTGAAAAAGGGGAAAAACTTTTAAATTTTCACCTTTTCGAAAAAATTATATTCTTCATAGAAGTTTTTGCTAATATTAATCCAAACAGAAGTTGAAAATCGGTAAAGTATTTTACCCAGAACTTTCCTCGATATAGAAATTGTAAAAGCAGGGAACTCCTAAACACTTAAATTTTATTATTTTAAAATTAAAACCTCCTAAATAAAAACCCTTTTTTACATTTTTCTCTCCATCGATCTTCCTCTTGATCCCACCCGAATTCTCACTTCGGGTCCACTCGGTATTCTTCGTCACGATGACCGTTATTAAACAATAATGATTTCCTGCTTTTAAAATGGTCCAGTTACACAAACCAAAAGGACGATTTTTATTATTTCCATTCATGTGGGACCTTTTTTGATTAAATACGATTCCTTTCAGCGCCATTTTGAAATTTTAAAAACTTGTTTAGGATCTGTAATCTTTGACTTCTAAAATTCTCAGATATCAATTTTAGTCGAAATTATTTTAAAAACTGCTCACCCTGTATATATCTGATGGGAAATATAACTGGGTTTGAGCCAGAAAGGAACCTTATCTGCTTATAAAATTTAAAGTTTTTCTATAAAGCCATTTTAACAGACATCTCGATAATGAATTAATAGTGTACGGCAGTGTAAAAAAACAAATTAATCTTTATTAAAAAAATTTAATAATATATTTAAAAAAAAAATAATTTATTACATTTTAAAAATTTACTTTCTGCAAATCAAGCCACATTTCTCCTTTAGATTTCGCAATTAATCCTTTGATATCGAATTCAACTGGATATATTGTATTTTTGTTTAGACTAAATTTGTAATTTCGAATTAATGTAACAAGTCCAAGTTTTGTTTCTATTAGTCCAAAACGCATCCCTAGAATAGAAAAGGAAACATTGAAAAATAATGTTGTTTACAAAAACTGAATTGCAAGCATTCAAGGTATGGGAGTATGGGAAAGTTGTTGCAAGGATTGTTTATGGTTATAATTCGGAATTGACTTAACATAAGCTCTAAATCTTTAAAAGGTACTTTTTATTACAGGTTTATAAGAACAACTGACGAATAATTCACCATTGTCAATCTAGCTGAATAATATATTAGTAATAAAAAAAAAATTAAGTTTAATGAAATAAATGTTTTTCTATTTTTTTTTTTTTTTTTCATTTTTTCTTTATCTATTTTTTAAATTTTTTTTTATATTCCGAATGTTCTCACAAATGTTTCCAATATTTAAGCTGCCTCCCGCTCTATAACTTGATCTACTGTAGAGCAGGTACAGAAAGTTGGAAAGAGTTTTGGCAGTTTTTCCACTTCATACACATGATTGACAGTTTTGTTGCGGACCTAACCAAAGTGAACTAGAGAAAAAATTACCTAAACAAATTCTAGGTCCTTCCCCGAAAGGGAGCCATGCAAACGGAGGGATACTTCTTCTGTTTTCTTCAGAGAATCGTTCGGGATCGAATCTTTCAGGGTCGGGATAGTATTCAGGATCGTAGTGGATTCCAAGGATCGGTATAGTCGTAAAAGTTCCTTTCTCAATTTGTAAATCTTCACCGGGAACTTTGTAATTTTCGGTGCATTCTCTGAACAGAAATGGTAATGGAGGATATTTTCGTAGAGTTTCTGAAAAATTAACAAATCGTTGTAATTTTGTTCAATAAAATAGAATTAAACAAGTCATTTAATATTTATAGAATTAACATAAATTATTAAAAATTTTATAAACAAACATTTGCAAAAGCAGCCAAATTATATTTATACATTTTTTTGATAATATGCTAATAAATAAATTTTATAATAAATTTAAAATTGAAACAATAAGTAAAAATGTAATAATCTAGGTTTAATCGCTGGTTAAATATCTCTACGAGTATAGACCAGTTTATATACTAAGAAAGATCGTTTACAAAGCTAGAATAACCCGATACGTCACAACATGCCGGTACCTGCCCTGCAGCTGCACACAGTCAGTGGGTATTACGATGAGCGAGAGACCGGTACTAATTTCCGTTGCGCAACGCATAGTCATCAAATTTCTTACCAACGAACGTGTTGGTCCAGCGGAAATTTGGCCGAGATTGCGTAATCAGTATGAGAAATCAACATCGTCCAAAACACAAGTGAAATTTTGGAATAAAAAATTTCGAGAAGAACGAGATGCTGTGCAAAATGAAACTCACCAACACCGTCCAAGAACAAATACCACACATGAAAACATTGATGCCATTTGAGATCTTATTCTCATAGATCGGCGAGTATCCATAGCAGAAATTTAAAAAGCAGTGGGAATAAGCTATGGGAGTGCAAAATCCATCATTAAGATAAACTTCAATATCGAAAAATTTCTGCAAGACGGGTTCCAAGACTCTTGAATGAACATCAACGAACTGTTCGTGTTGAAATTTCCCAAAGGCTGCTGACACATTAGAGAATGTTTTGACGGTAATGATCAAGCGAAACAATTTGTGTGCAACTAGTTGAGTTCACGACCTCGTTTTTTTTACGAAAAGGGTATAAAAACTCTACCTAGCCGCTGGAAAAAATGTATTCAGAAAGGAAGAATGTATATAGAAAAATAAGACATTGTTTATTTATTTTTGTTATTAACAAAGATCGGTTCATATTTGATCCAACCTCGTACTATGTCGGCATATTGTTCACACAGCACAGGCAAATTTAAATTTATTACGAACACAAAACGTAGTCGACAAGTAGGAGTAACTAGTGAACTGACGTTCATAATGATTGTTGATAAACAAACAACCAAAACCTTTGAAAACATGGCATACTACTTTAATTTATCTTCTGATCTTTGAACGTTTGTAGCTCGGTAACCATGAAGAATTGAATATTTGTTCAGAGAACATTTTTTGCTTGAAGTATGATATTTGGATTTGTAGGTACACTACCTCATACAACACCCTGTAGTTAATTTAAAACCAACCAGGTCCAAATTAGCATGACCACGATGTAATATACCTGAAAGTGCAATGAAATTGAGTCTACCACATGATTTAAAAAGATGAAAAAGATATTCTATATCTAACCAAAACTTATTTTGGTTTTTTCAACTATTTTAAACTTTATTTTTTCGGTGCTCTCAACATCAACGATATACCTAACCGATAAAATTTGTATATCACATGAGTTATAATTATGAAGACTAGAGATAAGGAGATGAATCGACATACTTAAAATACGGTCCCAAGAAATGCTAATGGAGCTTCTATAATTAACCCCCTGTGCGCTGGTACTGCATACGTTGTTCAAAATACATAGCTTCTTATGGGAATTATACATAAGTTTGTCAAAATAATAAAAATAAACTTGTTTACAGCTAAATAAAGCACAGAACATACTGTTGTATTTATTTCTAAATAAGTCTTGCATGTTTTAATTGATAAATTATTTAATTTTATGTATATAAAATAAAAATTAGGTATGAATGACCAAATTCGAAAAGGTTTCTTAATTGCTGAAATTTGATAAGTACAATTTTGTGGCAATTTTTTTTTTTTTAATTAAATTAATATATAGTTTTAAGAGTAAAATAAAACACAGCTAACAAATTTTTTATTGTTGTAATACAAGTCGAAAGGGAGATTTGGGAATGTACATGGTATTACTTTATCCTTTAATTTAAGCTTTCCCCTTTTTATTTTGCTAACAGTACCATCAGTAAAAATAATCTCATAATATTTAATAATATCTTTTATAAAGTATAGAACAGCATCATCTCTAGAAAGTGCTTTATCGGCACTAGGAACGATATATATGCTGCCACAGTTCTAAACGTTTAATATCCTATAAAAAACATTTACAATGACACAATTGGGGTCCAAAAAAAAATAACAGTAGCAAATCTTTATCTAACATTAAAACTCTATAAAAAATAAATTTTCTTTTCTAGTAAGTTAAATTTAATGCATAATTATTGTTGCTTGTAAGTCAGCATCTATAACTGTAAAATTTTATATTATAAAAATGTATAATAAAATAAACTACACTTCGTAAGATACATATACTAGTTTACAATAAATATTAAATTTAGACATGAATACATTATTTTACTTACACTAAAAGCTTTAAAAAGACATTGAATTGATTTCTTCTTGTGTTTTCTTTAGTTTTGCATTTGATTTTTATCCTGTTTTACAATCTGAAACGACGTAAATCTTGCTTTAATGTTTTTTTTTTCACTCATGTTACTTGTACTCAGGTACTTTTTTTCACATTATTGATTCTTTTCATCAATTTTTTAAAAAATCACTTTATTTGACAGTGACTTACATAGAAAATTGACCGCGCTGTCATTAGACATGCCAAATACAGTCAATTTCGAGAACTTTATAAAAAGAAGGACGGAAATTTGACCATTGCTAATTCGCCTCCTTCTCTATAGTCTTCATAGTTATAATTTTAACAAAAACATGCATTACATAGTACAACATTGAAAATACCAACTGCTTATTTATAAAGGGTGTTTTTTTAGAGGTTTGTTTTTCGTGTTGGCGACACTGTGTGCAGTGACAGTCAATTTAATAGGTGACAGCTGTTTTGTGTTCAGTATTTTGCCATTTCACCATGAATAGGCTTACGCCAAAACAACGTTTGCAAATTGTCCAAATTTATTTCGAAAATCGTTGTTCAGTTCGCGAAACTTATCGTGCGCTACGTCCATTTAACGGTCGACATAATCGTCCATCGGAGCAAGTTATTCGAATAACCATAAATCGTTTTCGCACCAAGCATACTCTACATGATAATGTGCTTCCTCAGAGACGTCGTACAGTGCGCACCGAAGAAGTTGTTGCTGATGTTGAGCGTAGTGTTGAGGAGAACCCGAATGAAACGATTCGCCATCGTGCCCAGCAATTAGTGAAGTTTTAAATTATATAAAGATCTTTGGTAAACCAATAAAACTAAGATATATATTCCAAAGTATTATTCAGGACATAAAATACATAAGGCGATTTTAAATCAGTTACTAGAAATGTGACCAAGTCAAGTGTGGTCAAGGTTCTTACGTCATTATAATGACGTTCTAATAATCTGATTTAAAAATGTTTGGTTTATATTGACACTAACTTCACAATGGGTATAACATTGGCAGATATCATGAATTTTTGTTTGTGTGTTATGTAATAGTAGTAGGATTTGTTTTTGAATTTGTAGGGATAAAAAATAAATATTTGTTTTGTTTACTGATCATGGATAAGGAGAAAATTGGTATTATAGTTACTTTGGCCTCTGATTTTTTATCAAAACTTTAGCCATGTTCATTAATAAATCCTACCTTGAAAATAAATTGGCTTTTCATTTGCAGAAACCTTAAATGCGTCCATATCTAGGTACTCAGCCAGGGTTGCCAGACGTCGCGCTTTAGGCGTAATTGTCCCTTTTTTTAACTTGCCGGCACGCGTTACGCCAAAGTACAAAAATGCTCCACATTTTACCTTATTGCTACGTTTTTTAAATTCAAAGTTATATATAATGATATTTTTGACAATGTTTGACCTGTTTTTGGGAAGCTCAGAAAAAGGAATCTGATGGTTTAAATAAATATAAGCAGAGGACCTTTTTTTAGTTCTCTACAAAAAAAGGAGCTTATTTTATAAAAATACCTGTTTTTTAACCTGATACCCTATCGTCACCATTGTCCCACTTTTTCCTTTTGTAAATCTTTCTTTTTATTTTACAAATAACACAACCAAACAATGATTTAATAATTAAAAAGTAAAAGTTTTACATTTGTCATTTCATTTGACATTTCATACCTGTGATGACCACGTTTTTACTGTAGTCATGTTAAACTTGACTATTTCAAGACAATATTCAATATGACGTCATTGTTTTTGATTTATATCAGTGTAGTCAATCATATTCAAGACATAGTATCTGATTTAAAATCGCCTTTAATACGAACTGACATATATCTGACAATCAATCATATAAACAATAAATAGGATCGCGGCTGCCAATACCTTCTAATAAGGCTCAGTTCAAATTCATTTCGACAATTAGAGCTGTGTCCATCCACCCTATGGAAGATTATGCGGAAAGAATTTGAATTGCGAGCTCATAAGATCCAGCTCGCGCAAGAATTGAAGCCGCGTGACCATCATGTGCGTCGTACGTTCGGCGAATGGGCAGAAAACCAGATTGTTATTGATCCTCTTTTTCACCAAAAAATTTGTTTAGAGATGGCTGAATGGGTACGTAAATAAGTAAAATTGCCGGATCTGGAGTGAAGCAAATCCAGAAGCTCATATTGAGATGCCGTTGCATACAGAAAAACTGACGGTTTGGTGTGCTTTATGGGCTGGTGGGATCATTGGCCCATATTTTTTCAAAGATGATGCCGGCCAGATCGTTACAGTCAATGGAGAGCTCTATAGATCGATGATTACGGACTTTTTTGTTCCTCAGTTAAATGGCATTAATGTGGAAGAGCTTTGGTTTCAACAAGATGGTGCCACATGCCACACAGCGCGTGACACAATAAATTTATTGCGGTAAACCTTCGATGACCGCATAATTTTACGTAATGGGCCTGTGAATTGCCTCCAAGGTCTTATGATCTTACACCTATGGATTATTTTCTGTGGGGATACGTGAAGTCGCTAGTCTACGCCGATAAACCACCGACGGTGGACCATTTGGAAGCCAATATTTGCCGCGTTATTGCCGATATACGGCCCCAGATGCTCGAAAGAGTGGTTAACAATTGGACTTCAAGATTGCGCAAGATTGCCCATATGCCCGAGATCTTATTTAAGCACTAATGGCATATTATCAACTTTTCAATAAAGCCAATACCATGGCCGTTAACAGGATTTGTATGTGTTTTATTTCATTGCAAAGTTCTATACCTCTAAAAAAACACCCTTTATAACCCACTTATACCCTACTTATAACCTACTTTTAGTACGTACATAAAAACTGTAAAATAAGAGGACTTGATTTTCTAAATTAAAAACCATGACTTACCATATATAACCCGTTCTAAATGCTCCATCTCCATAAGCGCCTCGTAAGTAATTTCATTATTATATTTTCTTAAAACTTTATTAATTTCCTCTCGAGTTTTATCTTGAAGTTCGGAGTTAATGGCAAGTTCGTACGTAGCGAAACTTATGGTGGCCGCGGATGTTTCGTAACCAGCCATGAAAAACAGGAAACACTCTGCCGCTATTCCATTTGCGGTCAACTTTTTGTTCAAATCACTTTCGTTATTTTTCAAATCTAATAGTATATTCAAAAAATCTTTTCGTTTGATGTTGTTTTGTTCTCTATACTTAATGTTTGACAACGTCGTGTTTAGGAAGAAATCTATTACATCCGTGCGTAATATGGAGTAATTAATCGCTCTTAAATATCTATGAGGGATCACCATTGGTGGAGTATTTCGTAGCACGACGGATACAGTTGCTTTGAAAACTTTGTCACCGTATTGACGAAATTTAGATTTTGGGTTTTTTAATGAGCTCGTTTCAAGACCGAAAGCTGTTGAACCTAAAATATAAAAAAGCCGTTTAAAATGTCTTAATAAATGTTTAAACATTGTTTAATAGATAGACTGGCATGAATTCCACATCATATTGAAAAATTGTTACTTAATTTTGCTTAGTTTACAGGAGAGCGTTTAAATAATCTGCTAATTTTTGATTGTAACTTTTTTACTTTTATGATATTTCTAATTATTAAAAAATCGTTTTTATAACTTTTTCTCAACTTTTCAACGTCAGATACAGTAGAATCGCAATCGACACAGTAATAAATCATCATTTTATGTGAGTTTTGCAGCACAGGTGGCTCAAACAAAATCTTTAATTTTAAAGAGCCGGCAGTTAAAAGGTTTTGTTTCATTACCTGTGGAACATAAAGAATAGACTACTCTTATTTTAATTCCTTTTAAGACTTTGATGAAAGCACGGTTGGGGAAATTAGGGGTATTTGTTTGTAATATTATTTTTTTGTTACTATTTTAAACTTATTTTAATTTAACTGCCGGGGTGCTATGATTATAAAATTTAGATATAAAATAGATAGGCTTACCTACTCTAGAAAATCAGAAAACGTGAAAGTCTCTGACACACTATATTTACTTGATGAGTCATTATTTACTGATATTATTAAAGGTGGTACTGTAATATCGACATCCAAGATTTTGTACAGATTCCACATATTTTCTTCTTCTTTTAACACATACTCGATTGCCTTTTACTAATTTTCCTTTTTCTTCGTAACAAGTGATATCAAAGTTTCTAACAATGTTTCTTTTTACTTAAATGTCTTATTATGTCGACCTACATATCCTTTCACTTGTGCCCATATCAGTTCAATGGGATTTAGTTTGCAGTGATAAAGAGGAAGACGCACAACATCAATACTATGTGTTGTTGCAAGTTCATCCACTACATAACGTACTGGTGGGTTATTTAATTTCACAATTTCTAGTAGTTCCATTTTTATTGATTTTTCTGGAAAGTTAATGTTTCTGTCTGTTAACCACTTAATGATATCATCTTTCTTCCATGACGAATTTGGTCCACGTTCAAATAGACGGGAATGGTAACTAGCGTTACTGTAACTGTACCCTTTGGTAAATGTTTTATCATCTGCTGAAAATATTCTTCAAGAACATCAGCGTTCATATCTTTATGGTAGTCTCCGGTTTTTTAGATTGAAATATTAAAGAAATATGTTTTAAAAACCCGTCATCACTTCCAATATGAGTTATAACTAGACGTCTTCCTCAATCCTGCAGATAATTCTTTCAAAAAAGCCTGTCGTGAAGATTGAATGTTCGTGTCCTGTCATATTTTGCTAACTGTGTAACCGTTATTTATCCAAATTTTGTCCAAATAAAGTATATTTTGGCTTCTGTACGTATTTTAAAAATGGTTCTGATGTATATCCGTCTCCAACAAACAATTTCCGTAGAATCAATAAGTGCTGCTTTTCTATCATGTTTATCTCACTTGTACTTCAAATCTATTAGAGTTTCCCGTAGTTTTGTCTTTCCCATTTTAGGAAAATTTGGATCACTATTGATTGCGTCCAAAACCTTGGCAAGTGTTGGTATCTCTTTTTTAAAATAAAATTCATGAACTTTTCTTCTTATTCCGCTTTAAATTTATTCAATAAATTTTTATTTATTTTTATTTATTTTTATTTATTTTTATTTTTATTTATTTTTATTTATTTTTATTTATTTTTATTTTTATTTATTTTTATTTATTTTTATTTATTTTTATTTATTTTTATTTATTTTTATTTATTTTTATTTATTTTTATTTATTTTTATTTATTTTTTTATATTTATTTTTATTTATTTTTTTATTTATTTTTATTTATTTTTATTTATTTTTATTTATTTTTATTTATTTTTATTTATTTTTATTTATTTTTATTTATTTTTATTATTTTTATTTATTTTTATTTATTTTTATTTATTTTTATTTATTTTTATTTTTATTTTTTTATTTATTTTTATTTATTTTTATTTATTTTTATTTATTTTTATTTATTTTTATTTATTTTTATTTATTTTTATTTATTTTTATTTATTTTTATTTATTTTTATTTATTTTTATTTATTTTTATTTATTTTTATTTATTTTTATTTATTTTTATTTATTTTTATTTATTTTTATTTATTTTTATTTATTTTTATTTATTTTTATTTATTTTTATTTATTTTTATTTATTTTTATTTATTTTTATTTATTTTTATTTATTTTTATTTATTTTTATTTATTTTTATTTATTTTTATTTATTTTTATTTATTTTTATTTATTTTTATTTATTTTTATTTATTTTTATTTATTTTTATTTATTTTTATTTATTTTTATTTATTTTTATTTATTTTTATTTATTTTTATTTATTTTTATTTATTTTTATTTATTTTTATTTATTTTTATTTATTTTTATTTATTTTTATTTATTTTTATTTATTTTTATTTATTTTTATTTATTTTTATTTATTTTTATTTATTTTTATTTATTTTTATTTATTTTTATTTATTTTTATTTATTTTTATTTATTTTTATTTATTTTTATTTATTTTTATTTATTTTTATTTATTTTTATTTATTTTTATTTATTTTTATTTATTTTTATTTATTTTTATTTATTTTTATTTATTTTTATTTATTTTTATTTATTTTTATTTATTTTTATTTATTTTTATTTATTTTTATTTATTTTTATTTATTTTTATTTATTTTTATTTATTTTTATTTATTTTTATTTATTTTTATTTATTTTTATTTATTTTTATTTATTTTTATTTATTTTTATTTATTTTTATTTTTATTATTTTTATTTATTTTTATTTATTTTTATTTATTTTTATTTATTTTTATTTATTTTTATTTATTTTTATTTATTTTTATTTATTTTTATTTATTTTTATTTATTTTTATTTATTTTTATTTATTTTTATTTATTTTTATTTATTTTTATTTATTTTTATTTATTTTTATTTATTTTTATTTATTTTTATTTATTTTTATTTATTTTTATTTATTTTTATTTATTTTTATTTATTTTTATTTATTTTTATTTATTTTTATTTATTTTTATTTATTTTTATTTATTTTTATTTATTTTTATTTATTTTTATTTATTTTTATTTATTTTTATTTATTTTTATTTATTTTTATTTATTTTTATTTATTTTTATTTATTTTTATTTATTTTTATTTATTTTTATTATTTTTATTTATTTTTATTTATTTTTATTTATTTTTATTTATTTTTATTTATTTTTATTTATTTTTATTTATTTTTATTTATTTTTATTTATTTTTATTTATTTTTATTTATTTTTATTTATTTTTATTTATTTTTATTTATTTTTATTTATTTTTATTTATTTTTATTTATTTTTATTTATTTTTATTTATTTTTATTTATTTTTATTTATTTTTATTTATTTTTATTTATTTTTATTTATTTTTATTTATTTTTATTTATTTTTATTTATTTTTATTTATTTTTATTTATTTTTATTTATTTTTATTTATTTTTATTTATTTTTATTTATTTTTATTTATTTTTATTTATTTTTATTTATTTTTATTTATTTTTATTTATTTTTATTTATTTTTATTTATTTTTATTTATTTTTATTTATTTTTATTTATTTTTATTTATTTTTATTTATTTTTATTTATTTTTATTTATTTTTATTTATTTTTATTTATTTTTATTTATTTTTATTTATTTTTATTTATTTTTATTTATTTTTATTTATTTTTATTTATTTTTATTTATTTTTATTTATTTTTATTTATTTTTATTTATTTTTATTTATTTTTATTTATTTTTATTTATTTTTATTTATTTTTATTTATTTTTATTTATTTTTATTTATTTTTATTTATTTTTATTTATTTTTATTTATTTTTATTTATTTTTATTTATTTTTATTTATTTTTATTTATTTTTATTTATTTTTATTTATTTTTATTTATTTTTATTTATTTTTATTTATTTTTATTTATTTTTATTTATTTTTATTTATTTTTATTTATTTTTATTTATTTTTATTTATTTTTATTTATTTTTATTTATTTTTATTTATTTTTATTTATTTTTATTTATTTTTATTTATTTTTATTTATTTTTATTTATTTTTATTTATTTTTATTTATTTTTATTTATTTTTATTTATTTTTATTTATTTTTATTTATTTTTATTTATTTTTATTTATTTTTATTTATTTTTATTTATTTTTATTTATTTTTATTTATTTTTATTTATTTTTATTTATTTTTATTTATTTTTATTTATTTTTATTTATTTTTATTTATTTTTATTTATTTTTATTTATTTTTATTTATTTTTATTTATTTTTATTTATTTTTATTTATTTTTATTTATTTTTATTTATTTTTATTTATTTTTATTTATTTTTATTTATTTTTATTTATTTTTATTTATTTTTATTTATTTTTATTTATTTTTATTTATTTTTATTTATTTTTATTTATTTTTATTTATTTTTATTTATTTTTATTTATTTTTATTTATTTTTATTTATTTTTATTTATTTTTATTTATTTTTATTTATTTTTATTTATTTTTATTTATTTTTATTTATTTTTATTTATTTTTATTTATTTTTATTTATTTTTATTTATTTTTATTTATTTTTATTTATTTTTATTTATTTTTATTTATTTTTATTTATTTATTTATTTTTATTTATTTTTATTTATTTTTATTTATTTTTATTTATTTTTATTTATTTTTATTTATTTTTATTTATTTTTATTTATTTTTATTTATTTTTATTTATTTTTATTTATTTTTATTTATTTTTATTTATTTTTATTTATTTTTATTTATTTTTATTTATTTTTATTTATTTTTATTTATTTTTATTATTTTTATTTATTTTTATTTATTTTTATTTATTTTTATTTATTTTTATTTATTTTTATTTATTTTATTTATTTTTATTTATTTTTATTTATTTTTATTTATTTTTATTTATTTTTATTTATTTTTATTTATTTTTATTTATTTTTATTTATTTTTATTTATTTTTATTTATTTTTATTTATTTTTATTTATTTTTATTTATTTTTATTTATTTTTATTTATTTTTATTTATTTTTATTTATTTTTATTTATTTTTATTTATTTTTATTTATTTTTATTTATTTTTATTTATTTTTATTTATTTTTATTTATTTTTATTTATTTTTATTTATTTTTATTTATTTTTATTTATTTTTATTTATTTTTATTTATTTTTATTTATTTTTATTTATTTTTATTTATTTTTATTTATTTTTATTTATTTTTATTTATTTTTATTTATTTTTATTTATTTTTATTTATTTTTATTTATTTTTATTTATTTTTATTTATTTTTATTTATTTTTATTTATTTTTATTTATTTTTATTTATTTTTATTTATTTTTATTTATTTTTATTTATTTTTATTTATTTTTATTTATTTTTATTTATTTTTATTTATTTTTATTTATTTTTATTTATTTTTATTTATTTTTATTTATTTTTATTTATTTTTATTTATTTTTATTTATTTTTTTATTTTTATTTATTTTTATTTATTTTTTTATTTTTATTTTTTTATTTATTTTTATTTATTTTTATTTATTTTTATTTATTTTTATTTATTTTTATTTATTTTTTTATTTTTATTTATTTTTATTTATTTTTATTTATTTTTATTTATTTTTATTTATTTTTATTTATTTTTATTTATTTTTATTTATTTTTATTTATTTTTATTTATTTTTATTTATTTTTATTTATTTTTATTTATTTTTATTTATTTTTATTTATTTTTATTTATTTTTATTTATTTTTATTTATTTTTTTATTTTATTTATTTTATTTATTTTTATTTATTTTTATTTATTTTTATTTATTTTTATTTATTTTTATTTATTTTTATTTATTTTTATTTATTTTTTTTATTTATTTTTATTTATTTTTATTTATTTTTATTTATTTTTATTTATTTTTATTTATTTTTATTTATTTTTATTTATTTTTATTTATTTTTATTTATTTTTATTATTTTTATTTATTTTTATTTATTTTTATTTATTTTTATTTATTTTTATTTATTTTTATTTATTTTTATTTATTTTTATTTATTTTTATTTATTTTTATTTATTTTTATTTATTTTTATTTATTTTTATTTATTTTTATTTATTTTTATTTATTTTTATTTATTTTTATTTATTTTTATTTATTTTTATTTATTTTTATTTATTTTTATTTATTTTTATTTATTTTTATTTATTTTTATTTATTTTTATTTATTTTTATTTATTTTTATTTATTTTTATTTATTTTTATTTATTTTTATTTATTTTTATTTATTTTTATTTATTTTTATTTATTTTTATTTATTTTTATTTATTTTTATTTATTTTTATTTATTTTTATTTATTTTTATTTATTTTTATTTATTTTTATTTATTTTTATTTATTTTTATTTATTTTTATTTATTTTTATTTATTTTTATTTATTTTTATTTATTTTTATTTATTTTTATTTATTTTTATTTATTTTTATTTATTTTTATTTATTTTTATTTATTTTTATTTATTTTTATTTATTTTTATTTATTTTTATTTATTTTTATTTATTTTTATTTATTTTTATTTATTTTTATTTATTTTTATTTATTTTTATTTATTTTTATTTATTTTTATTTATTTTTATTTATTTTTATTTATTTTTATTTATTTTTATTTATTTTTATTTATTTTTATTTATTTTTATTTATTTTTATTTATTTTTATTTATTTTTATTTATTTTTATTTATTTTTATTTATTTTTATTTATTTTTATTTATTTTTATTTATTTTTATTTATTTTTATTTATTTTTATTTATTTTTATTTATTTTTATTTATTTTTATTTATTTTTATTTATTTTTATTTATTTTTATTTATTTTTATTTATTTTTATTTATTTTTATTTATTTTTATTTATTTTATGTTTTATTTATTTTTATTTTATTTATTTTTATTTATTTTTTTTTATTTATTTTTATTTTATTTATTTTTATTTATTTTTATTTATTTTTATTTATTTTTATTTATTTTTATTTATTTTTATTTATTTTTATTATTTTTATTTATTTTTATTTATTTTTATTTATTTTTATTTATTTTTATTTATTTTTATTTATTTTTATTTATTTTTATTTATTTTTATTTATTTTTATTTATTTTTATTTATTTTTATTTATTTTTATTTATTTTTATTTATTTTTATTTATTTTTATTTATTTTTATTTATTTTTATTTATTTTTATTTATTTTTATTTATTTTTATTTATTTTTATTTATTTTTATTTATTTTTATTTATTTTTATTTATTTTTATTTATTTTTATTTATTTTTATTTATTTTTATTTATTTTTATTTATTTTTATTTATTTTTATTTATTTTTATTTATTTTTATTTATTTTTATTTATTTTTATTTATTTTTATTTATTTTTATTTATTTTTATTTATTTTTATTTATTTTTATTTATTTTTATTTATTTTTATTTATTTTTATTTATTTTTATTTATTTTTATTTATTTTTATTTATTTTTATTTTTTTTATTTATTTTTATTTATTTTTATTTATTTTTATTTATTTTTATTTATTTTTATTTATTTTTTATTTATTTTTATTTATTTTATTTTATTTTTATTTATTTTTATTTATTTTTATTTATTTTTTTATTTATTTTTATTTATTTTTTTATTTTATTTTTATTTATTTTTATTTATTTTTATTTATTTTTATTTATTTTTATTTATTTTTATTTATTTTTATTTATTTTTATTTATTTTTATTTATTTTTATTTATTTTTATTTATTTTTATTTATTTTTATTTATTTTTATTTATTTTTATTTATTTTTATTTATTTTTATTTATTTTTATTTATTTTTATTTATTTTTATTTATTTTTATTTATTTTTATTTATTTTTATTTATTTTTATTTATTTTTATTTATTTTTATTTATTTTTATTTATTTTTATTTATTTTTATTTATTTTTATTTATTTTTATTATTTTTATTTATTTTTATTTATATATTTTTATTTATTTATTTTTATTTATTTTTATTTATTTATTTTTATTTATTTTTATTTATTTTTATTTATTTTTATTTATTTTTATTTATTTTTATTTATTTCTATTTATTTTTTACTATGCCTAATTAGCTATTTACTGCGCCTCTACATCGAGGTGTTTTTGTCTGCTTTTTGTAATGGTCGTAGGTAATAATATAGTTTATTATTAATATTATTATACTTACTTATTATGTCTATAGTAAATCTACCCGCATAATCCCTTATGTCAAAAGGTCTGTTATCATTTGAAAATATTTCTAATTCTTCTCGTAAATTACCGGCACACTGTAGCATCAAATTGAATAACGTTTTAATTTTTCCCGGAGTAAAAGCTGGAGATAACTTGCCGCGAATGTCTCTCCACCTGTCACCATGAACATTGAAAATATTCGCTGTTAGTGGGTCGGCTCGTTCGGCAAGGTAGGTTCCATGACTGTGGAAATGTTGGAAGTCCGTTTGCAAAATGGCCTTCGCTATTTCTAAATCTATCGCAATGTAGTACGGCGATCCGAAGAAATATGCCCCGATGTGACGGTGACCTGCAAGTAGTAAGTTTGATATGGGTATGGTATTACAACAATAATAGAGACTCATTATAAAATAGACGAACAATAGAGATAAAATAGATCAAAAAACTAGTTTTTTTCTAAAAACTTGAACACCTGTTATTATACGGACAGGCAGTCTTTTGAATTGGACATTTTAAGTAATATAAAAAATATTTTGCTTTCTTTTCAACCATCAAAAAGTCACTTAACCAAGAAAACTGGCCACAAGGTCCAGCCTACCGCCATAACATGATCAGGCCGAGTGGGTTCAGTAAGCTTCTCACCGATCATTTTCGCTTAAGACCATTTACGAGAAGTTATCTCAACAGATTCCAAGAAACCTACAAAACTATATCTATGTACAATAAAACAGTTCTGAAAATTTAACTCCTAACGAAAATCGATCTATTAAATATTGTTGAAAGATCATAATATTATATATTTTTAATTTTTAATAAATGTTCCTAAAAGTTGTAATGCTGTCTCTTAACTGTGTAAATTACAAAGATCAGCTTTCATACCCATATAAATAACTATTATAAACTTTTTATGTTTGCGTCCCGGTAAGCATCCTTATTCATTAAATTTGGCCAGCCGCCCAGAAAGGTTGGCGGCCTATGCTCCAGGATATGATTTAATCACTGCTGAAGTACTAAACAACCGTCTCTTACAGGAATCGTGATGTTAACCTACATTATCAACGCAGCAATAAGACTAAACCGCCTCCAGCAACCGAGAAGTTGGCAGAAGTAATAAGGCTGCCCGAACTTGGCAAATCGCCGAATGAAATCAAATCTTACAGGCGTATATATTGCGTTGTTCATAATTTCTAATTAGGAAAGTTAGTTTTAAAAAAAGACAAATGTTTCAAAAATTAACTAAACGGGTGTGATTTCGATTATATAAATCGAAAGGTTGCTCAAGCGTTTTACAAAATGAATTTTTTGAGGTTCAAGAGGATATTAAGTGTGTGTCTTAGATAAAAGAGACCAGAGATATAACATACACCGGTTTTAAACCTGCGCAAATGTTGCCAATTTCTAAAGACGGGTTAACAGAGTGGGGGAACTGGGCGGCGACATGCGGCGACCCGAACTCTGTGACAGGGACCGGACTTTGTTTATTAGCATCTTAATGAACTATTAGGTTTATTTAAAAGGTGTTTATTCGAATTTTGTATTATGAAATAAAATTAACATGATTTTTTAATATCAAACAAATGCCACGACATTTTATGTAAAGAGAAGACCTTTTATAGAATATTTCGTTAGCGTTTATTTACTACGGACTTTTCTGCAAGAGATTGCAGTAAAATGTTGAAATAGAATATATTGTTAATAGAGCGAAAAATGTTAATCATTGTCTACGAGTATTATAAAAATAGCATGTGCGCAGGCTAATACTGCAAATCTACCCTTATGAGTTGAACATTATATTTTTTCTACGGCTATTACATAATAATAAAAATTAGTCAAAATGAGAAAATGCTGTTTTGTATTATAACCTCAGAAAAAGGTATGTTAAGGCTTCTTTCTTTAGGAATATTAATTATTATAAAGGATGAGTCACATAAAACTCTAGAAATGCATATGTCTGAAACCAGATAACATTTTAAAATTTAAATATATTAAAAGTCATTTAGTCGCTAGGGATGAGTGATTATCGATCATTGAAAATAATCGATTATTTTCGATCAATCGATTATTTTCAAACAATATATTTTTTGTCATTTCCTTTAAAATCGACTACTTGATTATCTTTGTAAATTCAAAAATAATCGATTAATTAAAAAGCCAATTAACCGATAAATCAGTGTTTACAAAATATAATATAAATAGAATTATCGTTTATTTTAAATAATCGATTATTTTCAAATAAACCATTTTTTTTCGTCCATGGAAACAGATTATTCGATAATCTTTGAAAAATCGAAAATAATCGATTAATCAAAAATAATCGATTAATTAAAAAGTCGATTAACTGATAAATCGATTTAAAAAAAAAACAGAATGATCGATTATTTTAAATAATTGATTATTTTCGATCAATCGATTATTATCAATAATCTATTTTTATTGTATTTCCTTTAAAATCGTTAATTCGATTATCTTTGAAATACCGAAAATAATCGATAATTCCAAAATAATCGCCTAATCGAAAATAATCAATTAATTAAGAAGCCAATTCTATGATAAATCGATTATTACCAATAATCTATTTTATTGTATTTCAAAAATAATCGATTAATTAAAAAGTCGATTAACTGACAAATCGATTTTCAAAAAAAACAGAATGATCGATTATTTTAAATAATCGATTGTTTTCGATCAATCGATTATTATCAATAATCTATTTTTATTATATTTCCTTTAAAATCGATAATTCGATTATCTTTGAAATACCAAAAATAATCATAATTCCAAAATAATCGCCTAATCGAAAATAACCAATTAATTAAAAAGCCGATTCTATGATAAACCGATTTTCCAAAAAATAAAACGAATTATCTATTATTTTCTAATAATCCTTTTTTCATATTTCCTTTGAAATTGATTATTCGATTATCGAAAATAATTGATTATTAAAAAGCTGATTATCCAATAAATCGATAATTTTAAAAAAATAACAAAAATATCGATTATGTAAAATAACCGATTATATTCAATCGATTATTTTCATATAATATCTTCGAAAAATCGAAAATAATCAAATAATTAAAAAACCGATTAAACGATAAATCGATTATTTTGAATAAATCTACTTTTTTTGTATTTCCTTTAAAATCGATTAATACATTATCTTAAAAAAAAAACGAAAATAATTTATTAAAAACAGCGGATAAATCGATTTTCATTAAAAAATATCAGAATTATCGATAAATCGATTATTTTTGTAACCCCTATCGGTCGCTTGCTTTTATCTGAGCATTTAGCTCCAAAATTTAGAGATTCGGATTTTTTGATCCAGTTATCTTTGAAATCGCATTCGATTGTATAATAAATAAATATTGCTAAATTTTGGATTTTTTTTAGTAAACGAAAATTATGTTCGATTTGTTTAGGGGTTTGTAATGTAACATTTTATTAACGTGACTAAGGGTCGATTCCATCGTTGTGATAAACGAAGTTTAAAATGACATTTTTACATTAACACTGTCATTTTAATCTCCATTTAACACAACGGTGGAATCGAACCTAACTCCTGTAACTTTAGTATTTTTTTGGGCTTATACTAGATTACTTTGTTTTAAGACTGAAAATTCAATGTCACTTTCGATTTGACCGCAAATAAGATGAACCTTCAAATTTTAAGTAGGTCATCCTGTATTTCATCTAATATTCTTATAAAAGTACCTTATAAAAATACCTTATAAAAATACCTTATAAAAATACCTTATAAAAATACCTTATAAAAATACCTTATAAAAATACCTTATAAAAAATACCTTATAAAAATACCTTATAAAAATACCTTATAAAAATAACTTATAAAAATACCTTATAAAAATACCTTATAAAAATACCTTATAAAAATAAAATTTAGCTAGCAACTATGATTCTTTACCTCTTATTTATTTACCAAAAAGGGCTAAAAACTACCTTTAGAAAACATTCTTATAAAACTACTTTTTAAATACAAAATTTCGTTAGCAATAATGCCTATTTACTATTTATTTAAATTAAATGTTCAAAATTTTACCCTTTTGTAAATTTATGTAAGTAATATGAAATCTGATTTCTGATGCTTAATATTTATTGAAACCCCTTAATGCGGATCTGAAGTATTCAGCCCAGAGAATCATGGCGCTTTATGTCAAAACGTTAATAAATATTTACCGCTGAAAACGAATATATTCATAACAGTAGTACTTGTATTATAAGTACATACAATTTTTCAAGATACATCGTGACATTTTGAACTTGAAATTGAATAACTAGAACACTTTAAATTGCTAAAATACCAACAAATAAATCAAAAAACAGCTGTCAATGGTGATTAAACTCAGGTGGAGGTGATCGCTGAATGGAAATCGGAGCAATTCGGGTGGCGTCGTGCAACAATGATTTTCAATTGGTGGGTTATTTTGGCTTAAAATAGACAACATGCGCAGTGTGCAATGTTACATCTTCGGTCTCTTTAATCTAAGGTGTGTGTACACTATAGAGTTAGTATGGAGAGGAGTTGACATTCTATACAAATATTCAATATAATGTGGTACTACTAGACTGACATTAGGATTGTAACAAGATGGCGCCTTGAGTTGGTCCAGTTGTTTAAAGTGGTCGTATTAATTTTAATATTTATGTTTCAATGAATACTTACGTGATATATCTTTTCAAATACAAAATAAATAAAATAGCCTAATTAAAAAAATATGTATTATTGTAATAGGTTCTTTTTTAAATAAAAATAAAAGAACTATTTAAAAAATATTTATATAAATGTATTGGACAAGTCATAAAGCATGAATGCAAAATTTGTAAAGTGTATATTATCCTTAAGACATTTACAAAAATGTATTGATTAAGCAAAAAAGCATCAATGCTAAATATTATAACCAAATAAGTATACAGGGTGTTCTAAAAAACATCGTACATCGCTCGTGGGGTGATTCATTACCCAAAAGAATATAAATAATTCCTATAAACATAGGCCCGCTGATGATTTAGATGTAGAGGGAAATACGAAAAACAATCAACAGTATCAAAAAATAAATGGTTGTATCTGCAACTAAACATTCTTTTACAATTTCATGGAAGCAAAAACGGACTGTCTTCGCTGTAACGTGGAAAGAGTTCTTTGTTACGAGATAAAATGATCTATGTTTAAGTTTCAAGGTCCTTCCAGAGACTGGCAACTGAACTTGAAGTTCTGACAATCGACCAAACTTATTTCGGAACACATATGTCAGTCTTTGTGCGTCGTTGATGCTTGCGGAAGTGTTATGGACAAGTGAGTATTCCTTTGCAACCGTAAACAGATCTTGTTGTTATTCAGTTGGATTTTCTGGTACCTTCATATGCACCCATAAATTCCTCAAATAGCACAAGCCAGTTTTGATGTACTACATTCGGTTTACCGTTTGGAATCTTACTTATACGGTAATTTACATTGTTCATTTTTTTCTTGATGAGTTACGGACCTTTTTAAGACCTTTGAAACTTTGGAGAGGGCCTTCTTGGGAAATGGAGTCAGACTTTGTCATCATCGTTAAAACGAACGTCAGTGGGTTGTCTATCGTACTGTTTCTTTATCCTGTCACTGGCGATTTGAAGATACGAGGGAATCAACTCATGCATATCATCTATATTTTTTTAACACATAATATTTACCGGCTATTTCTTCTGCAGATCAGCAACCAATCTGCACCGAGGTTGCACGGTAATATCATCTCACGCCTGAACAGAACTTTTGTTGGTGTTTTTGGACTGCTGATTCATTGTCAGGGGATATATAGGTCATTGCAAAGAGCGAAAAAATTGATCTCAATCTCGCTGATGTTTGAAAACCACTTTTAACAGGTATCTACCAATAGTCTTTTTCATTTGCTCTACTCTTCCATCCGCCTGTGGGTGAAACGCTGTAGTTCTGGTCTTCTTCATGCCTAGTCTGTCACAGATCCCTCGGAAAAGCTGCCTTTCACAACTTTTGCTTCGGTCACTGTGGATCTCCAAGGGCATTCCCAATGAACTGATAAATACTTTTATCAACACGTCTGCAACAGTTGCTGCCTCTTGATTCGGAATGGCGTAGACTTCCAGCCACTTCGTAAAATAATCCATATCTCAAATGTACTATCGACGTTGTATTGTTTCCTGAAAGCCTTTATTTATCATTTCATACATAGGTGGTACATTTCTTACACAAGTCCTTTACATCATCGGAATTGTTCATCCAATAAAACCTGTCACAAACTTTGAAGCTAAAACTATGTATAATTTTGAATTTAGTTTAATTCATCACTAATGTTATATCTTTAATAAGATTAATTGGGGTTCGGTGCCTTTACCACTCCTAAATATTTTTAATTGTTTTCTTGTTTACAATTCAATGTATAATCTGATTGACTTCCTGGTATCTGAGACGTAAGTTTTATTATGTGTTAATATTCATACATTTTAATTTTGTAACTCCTTTTAGGACGGTTTTGATGATTAAAAGATTAATAAAATTTTTCATTTTTTACACACTTATTTACTTATTTCACTTACATATTTCTCTTTCAGACTATTGGTTCGAACTTGCAGCTGTTTCGAACTGTTTAAGGTACTTGTAGTTGGTTCATAACATCTTTCCTAAAAAATTTGGAGCTTTAACACGAACGGAATTACAATTCCTTTTAGTTTCAGCTTTAAATCCACCTCATGGCAATTAATTTCACTGTCCTTGGCCTGTTCTATTTTCTATTTCTACTATCTTTTTTCCATTTATTTTATTTTTTCCTCAACGTAAGACATTATGTTATCGTTAACAAAAGACATCTTATTTTCCATAGAAGAAATTTTACTTTCTAAGTAGATAGAAATTTCATTTTTTAAAGAATACATTTGATTTCCTATAGAAGAGATATTAGAGTAGGCTTTACTTTCCATAGAAGAGAATTTAAAAACACTTTTTCTTTTAAGGAAGAAATATAACTTTTTATAGAAGAAACATCAGCAGTAGCTTCAGTTTTCATAGAAGACATAACACGTTTTTTTCTAAAGAAAATATATCAGAAAACATATTTCCTTCTATAAAAAGAAATATCAGACGAAATTACATTTGCCAAAGAATAGATCTTAATTTCCATATCGGAAGAAATAGATATGTTTTTGGATCCAGATCTGTACTTTCTATTGCTTCTTTAAGCCGCTTTGCTTGCTGTGCTTTTTCCTGTCTTCTCCAGTTCATGTTCTTCTTATTCTCGACGGTCTTAATCCTTAAGGCTGCGGTTATTTTTAAAGCTTTATTTACAACTCTCTATTGCAGTTTGGTTCATAGTTGCATTTCGCTATACACAGTGATTTTTTTATTATGGGAAATGAGTTTTTCTTAACAGCTGCAGCAAATTGAGTTCTATAAAAAGTATTTTATTTACGCCGATTGATGCTTGAAACTGGAATGGATATGGAAGTTATAATTAAGCGACGCTGGGCATCGCCACGCTTCACAAGCATACCATTTTTATTTCAAAAATTTAAAGATTTATTCAATACAAACACTTTTTTCAAATACCATTTTTTTTTATCTAAAACCATTCAAAAATTATAGACTAGTTCGTATATTTTAAATTTGTCGATTGTCATACAAAGAATGCATGGTTTTTTAAATTTTACTAAATCAGGTAGGCTTTAATACTTACTATTTTAATAGAAATAATTAAAATTATTCTGACAGTATCAAACATCAATCAATACGAGCCAAGTTTGTTTTTTCAAAGCCTACCTGATTTAGTGAATTTTAAAAAACTAATCGATTATTTTCGATTAATCGAACATTTTTAATAAATTATTTTCGTTTTTTAAGATAATGGAATAATCGATTATAAAGGAATTACAAAAAGAAAGTAGATTTATTCAAAATATTTGATTGAAACAACTAATCGATTTTTTTAGAAAAATCCATTTATTGTTTAATCGGCTTTTTAAATTAATCGATTATTTTCGATTAGGCGATTATTTTCGAATAATCGATTATTTTCGAATAATCGATTATTTTCGATGTTTCCAAGATGATCGAATAACCGATTTTAAAGGAAATACGAAAAAAATAGATTTAAAATACTCGATAATTCCTTTTTTTTTAAACCGATTTATCAGTTATTTGACTTTTTAATTAATCGTAGAATCGGCTTCTTAATTAATTGGTTATTTTCGCTTAATTGATTATTTTCGATTAAGCGATTATTTTTTAATATCAAAGATTATCGAATAATCTGTTTCAATGGAAATACAAAAAAAAAGATTATTTGAAAATAATCGATTATTGAAAATAAACGATAATTCGTTTATTATTTTTTGTAAAAACTGATTTATCGGTTAACTGGCTTTTAATTTATCGATTATTTTTGATTTTTCAAAAATAATAAGTAGTCGCTTATAAAGGAAATACGAACAAAATAGATTCTCTGAAAATAATCGATTGATCGAAAATAATCGATTATTATTAATGATGGATAATTTATTTTGATAATCACCCACCCCTAATGACCAAATGACTTTTAATAAAATTAAATTTTAAAATGGTATTTGGTTTCAGACATATGCATTTCTATAGTTTTATGTGACTCATCCTTTATATTAATTAATATTCCTAAAGACAGAAGCTTTAATATAGCTTTTTCTGAGGTTATAATACAAAACAGCATTTTCTCATTTTGACTAATTTTTAATATTATGTGTAGTGTAGAAAAAATATAATGTTCAACTCACAAGGTTTGATTTGCAGTATTCGCCTGCGCACTTGCTTTTAACAATATTCTATTTCAATATTTTACTGTAGTCTCTTGCAGAAAAGTCCGTAGTAAATAAACGCTAACGAAATATTCTACAAAAGGTCTTCTCTTTACATAAAATGTCGTAGCATCTGTTTAATATTAAAAAAATCACGTTAATTTTATTTCATAATATAAAATTCCAATAACGATATTTTAAGTAAATCTAACAGTTCATTATGATGCTAATAAACAAAGTCTGTCCCTGTCACAGAGTTCGGGTCTTCACCCAGTTCCCCCTCACCGTTAACCTTTCTTTAGAGATTGGCAATATTTGCGCATATTAAACACCAGTGTATGTTATATATCTGGTCTCTCTTATCTAAGATGTCAATCGACAAATTTAAAACATAAAAACTGGTCTGTAACTTTTGAATGACAAAAAAATTTGTGAAGCATCGCGACGTCCAGCGTTGCTTAATTATAACTTCCATATCCATCCCAATTTAAAGCATCAATCGGCCTAAATAAAATTATTTTTACAGAACTCAATTTGCTCAAGCTCAACTCATTTTTCCATGATAAAATAATCACCCTGTACTTTACTTTCAATGTTTTGATTTTATTGTTGTTAATTAATACATCTGATGATTAACTTGTTGGTTCTTTAATGATTCTAAATATATTTTTTTTTGACGAGTAAGTTTCAAAATGTTTTTAACAGTTCTATTGGTCTGGTCAGTGTTAATTTTTCAGGGTGCTGATAAAGTATTAGATGCCGAAAGCGCTCGACTTATTTTTAATAAAAATCTAGGAAAATATAAGTGGGTATAGATAAAGTTATATCCGAAAGTTATATGCATAATGCAGCAGTTTATTCCAATACGAATTCAGTCAGAAAACGGTTTAAAAACGTGTAGAAGTTACGCGTAGGCGATAAATAATAGATGAGAGATTAATTAATTTAAACCAAAACCGAAACAATAGTAAATAAACGTCTTATAACTTGTATTTTAATAAATTACTATTTAATTTAATAAATTAACTAGAAGAAAGTTTAGTTAGTTGTAAGAAAATATTACCTTTAGCCTTGTATTCCTTATAGAAATTACTAAAAATTTGTCCAAGAGTTTTTCGTCCTTTTAACAATTCGGTTGCATTACCAAAAATTAAAGTGGGTCTTGGACCATGAAGTCCTTTTCTTTTCCAATATCCCAGCGACCAAATATGCCACGTTAAAAAAGCAATTAACCAGAATGTGACCGTTATCAGAATGATAAATGTTAAACTGCAAGTGAATAGCATTTTATCTAAAATGTAAAACAACTAACAGAATATCTAATATAAATTAAATATGTTTTTGTTATTTAGGTGCTTACCTTTTTTCGCCGATAAGACGTTCCTCTCATGTACACGTTTTACTGCATTTTGTCAAACTAAGTGGATAATAGGTTAAGTAACTTTAATATTTATTAACTATAATTACCAAACTACTTTTATAGATCTCAATGACTTATTATTTGCAATAAAAGAATTCTAAATTATTTATTCATTTAGATATTATATTAATGTTACTAAAAAAGCAATTACTAAATATTTTAATATTATTTTTTTTATTTAAATTTAAACCGCATTAGCCACTGAAGGTTATTAGCAATAGTACAGTAGGAGTTTACATTATACAAGGTGGTTCAAAAAGACAAGGACCCACGTTTTAGGGTAGATTCCTCACATAATACAGTTTTTTTAAACCTATATCCGATTCTGCTTCGTTTTGGAGCAACAAGGTATCAAAATTAAAAAAAAGTTTTTCCCAAAATCTAAAAAATGACTACAAAGATTTTATAAGATTTGGGCATTTAGAAACATCTACTTAGGTGCATATTCTGATATGGTGATCAAATAAATGTGATTTGCAGGACCAGACTTACAAACAGGTCCATAAAGAAAATTAAAATAAGTGGTACGCCACTGACTTTTTAATTGATAGTACCGATACTAGGTAGTGTAAAGTGTTTCTTGTTGTCTGAGCATTGTCCTTTAGGTTATTCTAAAAACGTATGGCATCTACTTCTGCTGCATCCGCAGGGTGATTGTGATAAGTCTCTTTACAATCATCATCATGACTTGTAATTGCTCGCGATTTACATTTCTTAGACAAAAAGAACTCGCACTTCCAGTATGCACACAACCAATGGAATCACTGTGTAAAGAAAAAAAAACAATCAAAAATATCTCTTCGAGAGAAATTTTTGTTTGTTTACACTGAACTACCCCTTCCTGCAAAAAGTTTCTATGAAACTTTTAACAAAAAAAAAAATTCCAAATCGTACCAGTAGAGAGAAAAAAATACTTATTTATAACTAATACCTACTCATGACTTATATATACAATATGTCTTGGCCCCGAAATATAAAGATCTAATCGGTGACCATAAAAGACTTATGAGTCTTCATCAATGTCTACATCGGGAGGTTTAGATTTTATATCTTTAGCATTCCAAATACCCGCTGATTTTCCATCTTCACCGGTCAATTCATAAGACCAGGGGGAGACAACTTTAGCGGTCCTAAATGGACCAACAAATTTTTGCGCCAATTTCGCACTAAAATATTTGGAGGCATCTGACTGGACGTAATTCCTTCTCCAAACCATATCACCCATCTTGAACGTTTCATTACGCCGTCTTAGGTTATAAGTAGACTTACTCTTTTCATAAGCCGATTTTAAACGTTTCTTAACATCTAAAAATAGTTTTTCGAGGGCCATCTGCTTATCCAATATATCGTTTGGAGGAAGTTGCTGTAAACTACCATCCTCAGAGCCTGATAAATTAATTTCTCGACCAAAATTAATTAAATTTAGAGTGACGTCAGTCACTTCATGTTTAGAACACCTTAGAGCGCAAGTCACTTTTGATAAAACTTGGTCCCAGTGCCTTTGATCTTCGGATACATATGCTGTTAACATGGTCAATAACACGATGTACGCGTTCAACAGGATTTGCCTGTGGGTGATATAAGGCAGTAAACTTGATGTGGACCTTATATTTAGTCACTAATTCGGAGAAAGCATGACTTCGAAATTGGACACCGTTGTCAGCAATTATTCTGCTTGGTACACCGTATACAAGGAAAACTTCATTTTCGAGTATTTTAACTATATTTGAAGCCGTAGCAGACCTTAATGGATATGCTAAAATGTATTTACTAAAATAATCTAATACTGTTAAAATATAAGAAAAACCAGTAGTAGTGCGGGGTAAAGGACCCACTAAGTCCGTACTGATCAATTCCCACGGACGTGATGCCGTTGGCTGAGCAAAGCGCATTTGGCCCATGGGTAGTTTTTGTTCCGGTTTAATGCGCTGACATGTGGTACATTTTTGGATATAGCGAGCTACATCTGTGCGCATTTTTGGCCAATAAAATGTTTGGCTTATCCTGCTAAATGTTTTCGGAACACCTAGGTGACCGTAAGTCGGAGGATCGTGATGACTCTTAATAATTTGAGATTTTTGATCTCGAGGAACAACTACTAACCACTCAGAAAGACCAGCCATAGTGGATATTTATTTGGAGAAGTTTGGACTTGATCCAACAGTTTAGTGTACCACTTATCTGGAGATTTCTGAGAAACATTAAAAGAAGGAACTATGGAATCAACGCATGGCACTGCTCGTGAAAGGGCGTCTGGAACTAGGTGTTCCTTACCTTTTCTATGCACTATTTCAAAATCGTACGCCTGAAGCCTTAAGCCCCATCTTGCTATTCGGCCAACCGGATCCTTTATGCTAAACAGCCCTTTTAGGCTGTAGTGGTCTGTGATTACGACAAATTTGCTACCCTCTAAGTATGGCCTTAGTTTTTCAACAGCAAAAAGAACTGCCAGACATTCCTTTTCAGTTGTCGAAAATTTCCTCTCATTTTTGGTGAGAGAGCGGCTGAGATAAGCGATAACGTGATCTCCATCAGGATGTCGTTGGGAGAGTTTATGCTCCAAGACCATAGTTACTTGCATCTGTCTCAACTACAAAGGGAAGATTAAAATCCGGTCAAGAAAGTATCGGTGCCGAAACCAGAAGCTCCTTTATTTTTCCCAGGGCTTCTTCACAAGAGGAATCCCACATAAATGCTACATTTTTCTGCGTCAACCAAGTCAGTGAAGACACCAGAATGGAGAAGGATGGTATAAATCTCTGATATCATGAAGCCATTCCTACGATTCTTCGAACTTCGGCTACAGTACGAGGAGTAGGAATCTTCAAAATGGCATCCACTTTCTCAGTATCAACAAGAAGACCTGACTTATTGATCGCGTAGCCAAGATATTTTAATTCCTGACGACAGAATAAAGATTTTTCCTTATTAACGGTAAGACCTGCATCAAGTAGGCGTTTGAGCACAATACGTAATACTTTTAAATGTTCCTCAAAGGATGAGGTGCAGATGATAATATCATCTAGATAAACAAAGGTGTGATTGTCTAATTCTGGACCTAATATGGAATCAATTGTTCGCTGCCAAGTCGCTGGAGCCGAATGTAAACCAAATGGCATTCGGGTGAAATGAAATAGTCCCCTATTTGGAACTGTAAATGCCGTCAAAGGCCTAGACTCCTTTGCCACGGAAATTTGATGGTAAGCACTCTTTATATCGATGGTAGACAAATATTTTGCATCTCGTAGCTTATCCAGTATAGCACTCACGTAAGGTATTGGGTAAGCATCAGGTTTACTTACTGCGTTCAACCGCTTATAGTTGATACAAAATCTCCACTTTTCCTTTTGCTTAACCATGACTATAGGTGAAGACCATGGAGAATTCGATGGTTCCACAATTCCCTTTTTCAGCATATCATCCAATTCGGTATTAACTACTTTTTGGAGAGCAGGAGATAAAGGGTAGTATCGTTGTTTTATAGGTGGTGAATCGGTATGAATTACGTGCTCCACTACAGCGGTATGACCAATTACCTTATTTCCCATAGCTTCAAAGGCTTCATCTATAACGGACTGAAGAAGAGTACGTTGTTCATCATTAAGAGAGTCAATATCCTGAATTCCTGATGTATGAAGACTGTTGACCTTTTCGCTACTCCTAAAATGCCATTCGCCGTTAAATAAGTCAGGAACAATATCCATTTGAGTCCAAAAGTCGATTCCCAGGATTAACTTGTGTGGAACGGATGGAACAATAAGTATATCCAAGATTCGTACTTGTTCACGTAGACGAACCGGCACAGAGAAAGTACCAATACTCTCACAAATCTCACCAGAGGCTACAATAAAAGACGTTCTGTTTTTGGAATCAATCTTAGACACATATTTAAACACGTTGGGCGCCAAATTGTTACTTTAAAAGGGGGATATAACCTTTTTGGTTAAATTATCTCCCGATTCCAGGGTTTGCTGTGAAGTGGTTCGGGCACTTAAATTTATATTTTTAATTAAACAAGAGGGTTGTCTCTCTACAGTATTTTATTATCTGCAGCAAATAGATGGAGTTTGTTGTTTATAAGATATTTAAAATGGGATGAAGTTATGCTACAATTAATATTAGAGAATAATATATTATTTACAATAAAATCAAGCCCCGGTCTTCTGTGTGGTATGCATACTATGCGTGAAGATTCACAACTAATCTTTTGGGCTGTACAAAGTTAGTAAACCTATATTATATTTTAAAAGCTAGTTATTAATTTAGATAGCAAATCTATAAGTTTTATATGGATTTTATATATTTTGTAGGTTATTGAAGACTACCTCCTATTTAATAAAAAGAACAATCCTAGTTTTCTCTAAGCATTATGGACTATGGTTATGAGTACAAAAAAATATATGAAAAGCAATAATAAAGTGGTATATCTTGTATTGCTACTACTTAGCTGTGTTCCAGTGGACTTCGGAGACTCTGGATTTCCTCAAAAGTGCATTCACTGCTTCTTAGCCTAGTGATGTCAGCCTCTGTTGGATGTACGTAACCTGTACCTACTCAGGAATATTCGTGAGGGTTTCTTCGAGCCCAAAGATGAATCAGGAGGGTGAATAACGATTGGAAAACAAGACAATCTGATGCGATACGATAAGGTAAGTTATTATACGATAACTTAAAAAAAGAAAAGAGACCTAAAATAATATTTTACATTTTAACAACCAGAGTAAATTTTAAATAGAATATTTTGAAGAAGTTATTTCTATAAGACTCACCTTGGCGTGGCGTGAGGCCTCCAAGTGGCTTCGATAAAGTCGAAGTTTTTAAATTCTAAATCTAAGAATAACTATGAAAATTATATCCACAGTGATGTGATATTTACTAGTTTTCGTAAATATTGAAATATTCACTAATATATTCTAAATTTATGTAAAAATCCGCAATAATGCGAGCACGTTCTGCACGAACCCAAATGTGCGTTCTAAAAAGAAAGCTTTCCAAAAAAAAGTTCCTTCTTTTGTTATTGACCTTAGCCGGTCTTGTTAGTCTAGAGGTAAGACTATAGAAATGATCTGGTTGTAGGTTTACCTGAGAAGTTTTAGTTTGCTAATTGACAATTTTTATGTATGAGAAGAAAAGAAGAATCATTGAACTTTGAACCTTTGAAATTCTTAAGGTTATTTTATTGTTATTAATTTATTCAGGGTTTAATATTTATTTTTATTTTTCAGGAAAGTCACTATAAGAAGATAGAAAAGACCCTTTTAGTGAACTAAGAATAATTATGATGGGAGTAGAACATTTGAAATAAATTGTTATACTTTGTACTAGAAGAATATCCCGAATAAAGTTAATAGTTTTACTTTGCCTTCATTTATTTTGTGTCAGCTTATTGGAAAACAGGTAAATTTACTATTTGTTTTAAATTATTCCCAGAAAAGATATTCAAATTTAAATTAATTAAATTTTTACAATTAACCCTTAACACCGCATTAGCCACTGAAGGTTATTAGCAATAGTACAGTAGGAGTTTACATTATACAAGGTGGTTCAAAAAGACATGGACCAACGTTTTAGGGTAGATTCCTCACATAATACAGTTTTTTTTAAACATATATCCGATTCTGCTTCGTTTTGGAGCAACAAGGTATCAAAATTAAAAAAAAGTTTTTCCCAAAATCTAAAAAATGACTACAAAGATTTTATAAGATTTGGACATTTAGAAACATCTACTTAGGTGCATATTCTGATATGGTGATCAAATAAATGTGATTTACAGGACCGGACTTACAAACAGGTCCATAAAGAAAATTAAAATAAGTGGTACGCCACTGACTTTTTAATTGATAGTACCGATACTAGTTAGTGTAAAGTGTTTCTTGTTGTCTGAGCATTGTCCTTTAGGTTATTCTAAAAACGTATGGCATCTACTTCTGCTGCATCCGCAGGGTGATTGTGATGTCTCTTTACTATCATCATCATGACTTGTAATTGCTCGCGATTTACATTTCTTAGACAAAAAGAACTCGCACTTCCAATATGCACACAACCAATGGAATCACTGTGTAAGGAAAAAAAACAATCAAAAATATCTCTCCGAGAGAAATTTTTGTGTGTTTACACTGAACTAAACAACTGTCAGACATAAATATCATGCAATAAATGTGAAATGTAAACGTACCTTTACGGGTTCCACCGTTATCTAGACAAAATAAAATTGAAATGTAAATCAAAGAATCAGCACTCCTTGAAAGTAAATGCATGCATTTAACAGTAACATAACAATAATAAAAAACAGTAAAACGTATAATTAAGGACAACGCCCAAGTTAAACCCAAAAAGATGGTATCTACAAAATAAAGGTATCCCACACGGTCCCATCCCCGCATAAACTCAATCGGCTTCTGAATTTAAAAATCACTTGGAAGGGGGTGAATTATAGTAAGAGAATTATTATCAAGCATGGAATATAGATTATATTTTATCATAATCTTTCAACTGATACTTAATTATGAATTAATTTAAACAATAATGCGCCTAATTTTTCATGGTTTGTATGTCCAGTGACGTACCTAAAACTTTTGCCGCCCGGGGTGGTCTTCAATTGAGACAAACTATAGGTGAGGAACTTTTTTTACCATTGAATGTGATATACAAATTTTAACTGCCTACTTATTTTAAATCATGAAATACAGCCCGCTGACAGACGGACGTACGAACAGCGGAGGCTTAGTAATAGAGTTCCTTTGGTTATCCTTCGAGTACGGAACTCGCACCTACCGCTCCTCCCCATGTACGCCACTGGTATTTTTTTCCACGTAGGACATGCATTTGTCACTTAAGTTATGTTTGTGAACTAAAATAAAACTACAAAAACAGATTAGTTTATAAATATTCGATTTTATTAGAATTTTTGCAGTCAAATTAATAATTATTTGGAAATAGGTAGGTAAAAAAGTACCTGTAGGCTACAGAATAAAACTAGTACTACTATGGCAAGATATCAGGAAAATGAAATATGCTATTAAATATAAACAAAACCTAAAACGAAAAAAAAACAAAAACAATAACCGTCAGTTGGGATTTTGGAGACTTTAGCCAATACATCTAATTATGGTACATGTTCGTCAATTATATAAAACCGAATAACTTGGTTTTGGCCTCGAAGATAATTTTTTATTCTAGTTTAAATTTTTCTAATGCAATAAATAATTTTTACAAATGGTTTCAATATTTATCGCATCTTTTGAAGAAATACACTATTTTTTGTTGTTTTGTTGTTGTTTGTTGTCTTAATTAGATTACGTCTCCACTTTGGGTACGGACCTATTTATTAATCTTCTCTAAATCTAACCATACACCTCCTAAACTACTTGCCAGCAATGCTGCTGGCTTATATTTAATTGGTGAAATTGTTTTCTTGTTTAGAGCAATCTTGAAATTTTGTATTAAAGTTACGGTTGCTATTTTCATTTGTACCATTCCAAAACGTAAACCTAAAAAATAATATTACATGCATTAGTACATTTTGTTGTTATTCTATAAATAAAAATTGTCGTGTTTTACTTTCGATTACCAATAATTTTTAGGAAAACGACGTTTATTTTTAAAATACCAAAATTGATGGTTATTTACGAGGGGTAAACCACTCAGGATGTAGATGTACAAAAAGAAGGAATTACAAGGATGTAATAAGGATGTATGAAAATGTACATGGATGTATGAGGATGTATATGGATGTATGAGGATGTATGTGGATGTATGAGGGTGTACAAGGATGTATGAGGATTTATGAAGATGTATGAAAATGTATGAAGATGTATAAAGATGTATAAAGATGTATGAAGATATATGAAGATGTATGAAGATGTATGAAGATGTATGAAGATGTATGAAGATGTATGAAGATGTATGAAGATGTATGAAGATGTATGAAGATGTATGAAGATGTATGAAGATGTATGAAGATGTATGAAGATGTATGAAGATGTATGAAGATGTATGAAGATGTATGAAGATGTATGAAGATGTATGAAGATGTATGAAGATGTATGAAGATGTATGAAGATGTATGAAGATGTATGAAGATGTATGAAGATGTATGAAGATGTATGAAGATGTATGAAGATGTATGAAGATGTATGAAGAGGTGCAAGAATGTATGAGGATTTGCGAGGATTTACGAGGATGTATGAGGATGTGCGAGGATTTACGAGGATGTATAGAAATTTTTCAGATGTATAATGATTTATTGAGGATGTACAAGAATATTACAAACAGTTTAAAATAACGAAAACCCCATCGTTCTGTTTCAGCGTGTGAAGGTTTATTCGAAAAAATGATTTGGTTCTAAACTATAATAAAGTAGGGAAGTCAAAAATTATCGGTGGCGTTACAGTTAAGGATTAGAAAGCTTACAATTATTTAATAATATTAAAATGTTTGACAAATATTTTATGTCCGTTTTATTATTTACAGAGTTAATATTTTTTTAAAATGTATAATAATTGTTATTTTTTTGAGATTTGGTTCATTTTCGAGAATTCTTGCATTTTTAAAATCGAAAGAGTGCAAATTTTCTAACGCATGTTTAGTTGGGGCAGTGGAATTTTCATTATTAGTTGCGATATTATTTTTATGGTTTTTTATTCTTTTATGTAGATATTATTTTCTTTGTCCAATGTAAGTGGAATTACAGTCTTTGCAGTCAATTTTATAGACAACGTTTGGTTGATTTATTTTACTAATTTTGGGCTTAAAATTTAAAAATAACGTTTTAGTTGTATGGTTAGGTTTATGAACAATTTTTATATTATGTTTAGAAAACATTTTAGACCCTCGTTCAGAAAATTCTTTTACATATGGCAATAAAATTTAGTTATTATTATCATTATTATTACTATTACTATTTCTATTATAATTATTATTTTAACTGCACCCGAAGTTAAAAAATTTTCCGAAACATTTTTATTTTATTTTTAAGTATAAGAAATTAACATATAAGTTACCCATTCATGGGCACAAAGCATAACGTTTGATTCCACCAAATAATTGGCTCAAAAACAGAACCCAAAATGTTCACCAAAAATTTCAGCCCTAACATACTTCTTATTTCTTTTGGTCTAAGATCCAAAGTAAGGTCGACCTTCACCCATCTTAGTTAATGTATAAAAGTTTCTTTCTATTAAATAAAATATGTTTATAAATATACCACAAATGGGTTGCCTAAGAAATTACGGTCCAGACTATTTATTTTTTTAAAGTAGAAAACGACACCCTGTAAAGTATACCCCAGATGCTTCGCCTATGCCCAAACTTTAATCAGCTTACCGCAGGATGGATTAAAGCTTATGTTTAAAATTTGGTGTTTTTCTCTTCGCCCGTTTTTTAGTTATCTTCAAAATTATAAATTTTCCTTTTCCTTAAATATCTCGAATTAGGTCCATTCTAGGGATATCATGTATAATAGGGACAAAATAATAAAAAAATGACATTATAAGCAATTTTTTTATGATTCCTATGCTTTCCTTATCTGTACACATAAAGGAAAGTAAAAAATGGCCCTGACCGTATTTTCTTAGGCAACCCATTTGCGGTATATTTAAAAACATATTTTATTTAATAAAAAAAAAACTTTTAGGCATTAAACAGATGAGTGAAGGTCGACCTCACTTACGGATCCTGGATTTCAGGATTTTCAGCATTTTTTTTATTTCCCCCTCCCCCTTTCATAAATTAGTTTTAGCGAAAAAGCACTTTACCGTAAAACAGTGTGAGTTAATTATTTTTTTTTATTTCTACGTACAAAATACCAAAAAACTAAAAGTGAATAGTTTATGAATCTAGAACAAGTCAGAGGGGGTTATTCTCTAATTTTCAGCCGAAAATATTGACACGTTGATCTTTTAGTACTCCGATATTAATATACTGAATTTTGAATATCTTGGTAAATTTAATTCGATATTGGGATTACATATTTAGTGAGCATGCAGATATGCATTTTATGTACGGTCTTGCATCTTGCAATGCTTATGAAGCAAGAAGATTGTGTGAAGAAAGATATCCTAATCGCAATATTCCAAATGAGAAAACATTTCAGCTACTATACCAACATCAACATGCTGGTGTGACAAAAACAGTACGTACGGTGCAATTGGAGGAAAATATTTTGGATACTGTAGCCTATACTCCTTCAATAAGCACTCGATGATTAGCCGCGCAGCTTCATGTATCAAAAACGACAATTGCTGAAGTACTTAAGGAACAGTTGTTATACCCTTATCATCTGCAAAAAGTGCATCAACTACTTCCTGAAGATTTTCCTCAAAGAATCCAGTTCGCAAACTGGCTGTTAGATCAGCAACGAACAAACGGAAACTTCATTGGCACTATTCTTTTTACCGATGAAGCAGGGTTTACCAAAAATGGTATTGTAAATTTACATAACGCGCATGTATGTGCTAATGAAAACCCTCATGCCACTGTTGTTCATCATTATCAACATCAGTTCCAATCAATTAATGTTTGGGTAGGAATAATCGGAAATAAATTTTTTGATTGGACCATGCGTATTGCCGCCACGATTAAATGGTTTTTTTTTTTTTTTTTTGTTAGAGTATTGTTACTAGTCATTACTGACTAACCTACAATTTTAATCTAAAAATCTTACAAACTAATTACTTATCTAAGAAGTTCCCATTGGGCTGTCTTAATTGTTTCTATAGGAAAGCATCACAAGTTGGCGTGAAGGTTCATTACACTGTTTTACACTAGCACTAACATTAACGTTCACTGCACTAGCTCAAATGGCTTCTTCCTTTTCAGCCTTCTGTTGAGTGTAGAGTTGTCCAGTAATTGCAGCGCTTCTTCGTTGACGTGGGAGTGGAGTCGACCCTCATGTTTCGCAGCAAACCTCTTTATTTCTTCTTCAATTGTTGGCATCTTCAGGTCTCTATGAAGATAATCGTTTCGGTAGAACCAAGGTGCATCAACAATACATCTTAGGACTTTATTTTGGAAAACTTGAATCATGTTGATATTACTCTTGCTGGCACATCCCCACAGCTGTATGCCATAAATCCAAATTGGTTTTAGGATTTGTTTATAAATCAGCAGTTTGTTGTGCACTGTCAATTTGGATTTTCTACCTAGGAGCCAATACATTTTTTTGAATTTAAGTTCAAGTTCTTTACGCTTTTTTTTTATGTGCTCTTTCCATTTAAGTTTTACATCTAGGTTCATCCCTAGGTATTTGGCCGAATCGTGATGCGGAATAACGTCATTGTTTATTCTTATTTGTTTTTGTTCATTTGGTCGAAGAGTAAAATCAACATGCACTGATTTAGTTTGATTTATTTTTATTTTCCATTTTTTTGTCCATCGATTAATTCTGTTGCAGGTTTCCTGAAGTTTTTCTGAGGTCTCTGTATTAGTTCCGCCAACTGCCAATATTGCAGTGTCATCTGCAAATGTTGCTATTTTAACAGATTGTTGTTGAGGGATATCTCTGGTGTATAATAAATAAAGAACCGGTCCTAGCACACTGCCTTGTGGGACACCTGCTTTAATTTCTTTCATTTCGGAGTATGCCTCGTCTTGCTCTACTCTAAACATTCTTCCCGTTAAATAAGATTGTAGAATGTCGACATATTGTCTAGGGAGCATTTTTTCAAGTTTCTGTATTAGGCCAGCGTGCCAGACCTTGTCAAATGCTTGGGCTACGTCAAGAAATATAGCTGAGCATATATATTTTTCTTCGTAAGCTTTTTCGATGATATCAGCTATCCTGTGTACTTGATCTATTGTCGAGTGTTTGTTTCTAAAACCAAATTGGTGCGAAGGGATCAGATTTTTATTTTCAATTATTGGTTTTAGTCGTTTTAGTAACAGTTTTTCAAATAACTTAGATATTATCGGTAACAATGATATAGGTCTATATGACGACACTTCATTCAGAGGTTTTCCTGGCTTAGGAATTAGGATAACTTCAGCCATTTTCCACGCATCAGGTATATATTTAAGGCAAAATGCTGCATTAAATAGTGAACTTTATTTATAGTTCCTTCAGAAAGCTTTTCTGAATTCAATAGAGCATTTGCCACTTGAAACTCGCCGAAGCATGTATTTTATGAATGATGGAGCCCCACATCACTTTAGCGTCGCTGTACGGGACCACCTGAATAACGTCTGTCAAAATCGTTGGATAGATAGAGGAGGTCAAATTGCCTGGCTTCCACGGTCTTCTGACCTAATGCCAATGGATTTTTACCTGTGGGGTCATCTCAAAACCTTATTGTATTCCTCTCCTGTTAATACTAGGGAGGAACTTTTACAGAGAATCACATTTTATTGTAATATGATAGGGAACAATGCTGGGTTGTTGTGACGAGTACAGCAGTCTTCTATTTGTCGGGCCCGCGAGTGTAGCAGAGTTCACGGAGCACATGTTGAACCCACTTATAAAGTTTTTAATTGATTATTTCTAATTAGCGTATTTAGGTTCAATCGTTACAAGCTTTAGTGAGTTTAGGATGAAAACATAATACTCCAAGTTGTATTTTAGAATTTACCAATTTGAAATTAGCTAATTCTGGGAGTTTAATTTTTTATAAAAATAAAACATTAATTCCTTTTTTTTTTTCGAAAATAGTTTATTTTATCGACAATGAAGAAGAGTACCTTTTTTTTAGCTTAATGTTTAAGGTATCGAAATTTTATTTTTTTTAACTCCCTACCATACAGGGTGTTAAAAATGTAAGCATTAAAATGTACAACCTAATCCGCCCCTGGTAAACTAAAGAAGCTAATTATGTTGTAAGGGCAGTATTTTAAGAGGTTCTTACTACTGTTTATCATATTAAATTTTAATTAAATTATATTATGTAGTTTTAAAATTATTCAAGAAAAATTGATTTCCAGTGGCGTCCTTTTGGAGGCCGTAGGGAGGGCCGCTGGGAAAAAATGTATGGGAACTTGCCATCTTATTTTTTAATTGCTATTTAAATCCGAAAGATCTCCCACATTATCCCGCATAGTAGAGGGTTTTGATCAGTAATAAAAATATAACTAACACTTTAAAAACTATTTTTAACGCTTTTGTACGTAGTAAGCTAGAATATGCGTCCATTGTTTGGAGTCCTGGATATGAAGTATATAGCCAAGCATTAGAAAAAATTCAGCGAAAATTTGTCAAATATTTGTGGTGCAAGCTAGATGGCATCTACCCTACTCGCAATATTCCGCAAACCATCTTGCTGAATAGATTTGATATCCTTGAATTACGTACTCGCAGGAAATGTTATTTTATCTGCATTCTTTACAAGTTATTAAATTTTAAAATTGACTGTCCCGAACTACTTCGTCAACTAATGTTTAATGATCCTAGTATCAGAACTCGCTCCCCTTTTTATTTCTATTTTCAGACACCCAGGACAAATATTTTAAAATTTTCTCCAATGTATTTTATGTATCAAGATTTTTGTGAACTTCAAAATGATGTTGATTTATTTTCTATTTCAATTAAAGAAATAAAACGCTTAATTGTGGACTGAGTTAATTATCATAAGATAACGTAATTTTTTCTCCTAACGGAGTTCTTTTTTGCGTTTTCTTATGATGGTTAAAAACGTTTATTAAACTATTTTTTGTTTACATATATTTATGCTATTATTAGTATTTAATATTTTGTTATTATTTTTATGATGTAAATTATACTGTAACTGTAATTATTTTTGTGCCCATCCTGTAATTGGTTTTATACTGTTGGATGGTGTAACCCAAATAAATAAATAAATAAATAAATAAATAAATAAATAAATAAATAAATAAATAAATAAATAAATATGCCTATAAACTCTATCATTATTACGGTCTGTTGCAAATAATATCCTTTTTCTACACCCGTATTATAATAATGCACTTATATGCCCATAATCCGTTTTATAATGATACCCATTATGATACAGATTTTTCATAACGATACAGATTTTTAATCAATAGAAACCCATAATTTTTCAATCAAGCATGCTGTGCATTTGGCGTTTGTCCTAGGTTTTTGTGTAATTGTTTTAGTGGTCAAAATCAGTGCGTATTAATTTTCGTAGATAGCTAAACTTCGATAAATATATTATCAAAATGTCTGATATCAGCGATATAGAAGACTTACCATCGACTCCTCCACACATAAGGAGAAGCAGAAAATGCAGTACAAAATATTTTTCCCAAAAATCTCTGGTAATACCAATACCCTAGGTAATATTATTAATTACAATTTTGTAGAATTTTTTATAGAAATACGAGTAATTACTGTTATTGTGTTCAATATAAATATAATATTTATAGTTCTTGATTATTTATCGGGTGTAGAAAAAATAGCGTATGCAACTCTCATGTAATGGTTATTACATGATCGTTGCATAATATACTATTATTTGTATGATTGATTTACATAATGTGCTGTTTGTCGATATTCTAATTTGATAATTTTTAAAAATTTGTTTATGATTTTTACCTAGGCATATTCTTGGTCCTTCTCCAAACGGAAGCCAAGCAAAATGTGGTCGTTTTTTCTTGTTTTCTTCGTTAAATCTATCAGGATCGAATTTCTCAGGATCTGGATAGTAGTCCGGATCGTGATGAATTCCAAGTGTTGGTATAATTACATAATCGCCTTCATCAAGTTTCGTATTTTCTCCTGGGATGTTGAAAGTTTTCGTGGTTTTCCTAAATAGAAATTGTACAGCGGGATATTTACGCAGAGTTTCTAAAAAATATAAATAAAATAGTTTTTTAGTGAATGCCGTTTTAAATACAGTAAGATAAAGATTGCATTATTTTGTCTATTTGTCTAATAATTCTAATAAATAGTTGAAAAGTCATCTTTTTATTTGGTTCTTACACTTAAGAACATAAATAGTAAAATAGCAATGAATAATAAGTTATTCATACGACTTTAACATTTATGTATACGCTTATAAATATAAATTGGGTAATATAATAAAATTTTATTCACTCGTTAAACGTTAAAGATTAATGTATTCTTACCACATATAACCCTATCTAAATATTCCATTTCCATGACTGCTTCATATGTCATTTTATTATCATGTTTCTTTAATATTGTGTTGATCTCATTTCTAAGTTTTTCCTGTATATCGATGTTTACAGAAAGCTCATAAGATAAAAAATGTAAAGTAGTTGCAGTGGTTTCCCATCCACCCAAATATAGTATATAACTATTTGCAGCAACTTCGTTTAATGTCAAACGTCCCTTTTGTTTTAATTCCAATAGCATGTTAAGAATATCTTTTCTAACAAATTTGGTTTCTTCCCTGTAGTTGACGGTGTTAACAATTAAGTTATAAAAGTAATTTATATAACTTCTGGGTACGAGACTGTAGTTTATAAATCTCAAAATGTCATGATTTATTAAAAAGGATGGTAAATTTCTAAGGGCGGTAGAAATGCTAGGTTCCATCAGTTTTTTATTATAGATTCTTAATTCAGCTGCAGGATATTTCATACTTTCTACTTCAAGTCCAAATGCACATGATCCTTAAAAAAATAATTACAAGGTCATTAAACTTTGGTAATAACAATTACTATCAACTTAAACATAATATACTAGAATCGTAAATTATAAAACGTGGAAAATTTAGTCAATACATAATCAAAGAGCACCAAAGTATGAAATATTTTTATTCTTCCATAAAGATAAGTAATCAGCAAAATACAGGTATATTTAGGACCGCTTTTTAATTATTACTTATCTGTAATATCTAGGGGAGACTGGGGTGTAATGATCTCCTTAAGGCTAATTTCGTTCTATTTTTGCAAGTACAGGAATATACATTTATTTGTCTTTTCTAGAGGATTTGGTGTCCATTTGACAACAATTTAGTATTTAAAAAGATGTTGATTTTATTCACATTTTGTAATGACAATGATGTTTGTTAATATTTGCAAAAGAATCATTTTACCCGAATGCTAGAGGTAAAACGATCCCCCACATGAGGCAAAATGATCCTATTTTCAAAACATTATACTTTCGATAAATAATATAACAATAGGGGTGGGTTGGCTCAGTGGTTAGAGTCATGACTTTGAGATCGGAAGGTCTCAGGTTTGAATCCCACCGTTGGACGGAATTTTTTAATTTAATTTAATTATTTAAAATTAATTCTGATGCCTTGGTAGGATTCCCCACTCGACCATTCACTGTTGGGTTCTAATTAACAGTGCTGTTCCTAAAGTGGCGCTGGGAAACAGTAACAAAGCCTACACAGAACACGAGGCTAATGGCCGTAGTAGTCGACGCCGACGACACCAAATTAAAAAAAAATATATATAACAATAAATGCAAAACATTAGTTTATTTATAAAAAAAGGCATAAAACATAACATACAAAGTATTAAAATATTTTTAATACTCTTAAGGTAGTGAACAGAAACTTGCTCAACATTATTTAACAAAATTAACTTAAGCAACTTTTAATACCTTAACTAATTTAAAACTTGATATTTTTCTTAACTAGATAGGTTTGGGTTTGATGCAAACAGAAATCACACTCAAAATAGCAGTCGTTCTCATCGACTCCTGCACATGAGCCCATTTTAGGCATTTAATGCACCTGATTCATCCTTCGCCAGTCAAAGAAGCAGCGTATTGTTCGCAGCAAAAGATGCACTCTTCTGATTCTGATCTGCTGTTACTGTTGGAGTCATCACTTCCTCTACTATTTTTTTGTCGTCTTGTTTAATTTAACTTTTTTCGTGCTTTCTGATTTTGACTTGTTTTTTTTTTTCTCAGCCTCTAGTTCAATTTTTTCTTATTCTCTTCTTCAAGCATGATTTTTTATGGGGTACTCGTAAGAAATCGGTACCAACAGACTTTGGAAGAGAATTGCAATCAGCAGGGGTTACGGTAAAGTAACTTTCCACTTCGACTTCACATTGGTCTGATACCTGATTTGTAATTGCTGGAGGAATATATGGTCGTGTACTTGACCCAGGAATTGGAGAACTACGTAGAAGTGGGTTGGTTGCAGAGGTTTCTTCATTATTCTTTAAGTTTTCTTGATTATTTTGAGTAGCTTCGTGGGTCTCTTCCGTAACTTCTGCTGCTGCGAAATCTGCGTCAGAAAACGTGTCAGGATCAAAGAGCATAATACTAGTTTTTTTTAAAGCATTTATTGCTTTATTCGGTACACATGCTTTCAGGTAGGCTTCTAAAAAGAGTCTGCTTATCTGGAACGTTGGCCAAACATTTCTAATTTCATCCAGCCGGAATCATTGCAACCGAAAATAGCTCCAGGTGAAGCGCCATCCGTCAGTTCCGCTTTCATTTTTTTCCTACTAAAAATTAGCATAGGAGGAACAAAAGCCCCACCAGCAGAAGCGCAAATTACAGCAGTTGTTGAAACTTCCGTTTCGGCTGATGTTCCACGTGCAAATTGCTTTCGGCCTCTTTTTGCAAAAGTTTTTGAGTATCTGCCAGGAACTGTTGACACAGAGGTCTCGTCAACATTAAAAACTGTTATATGTCTTCTATGGAAAATAAATTTTCGTCCAATATTTCTTCCTTAGAAGAAAAAGTGTCTTCCGAAATGTCTTCTTTAAAAGATGAAATCTCTTCTGATATGACTTCCATGAAAAACGAAATTTCTTCGCCGGAAGATAAGATTTCTTCCGTTGAGGAGAAAATAAAAGAGATTGAAATTAAGATAAAAGAACTGGAACATTCAGACCCGGCCAAGGAAGTTGAAATTAAGTGCCATGAGGTGGAGTCGAAGTTGAAATTGGAAGGAGCTGTAAACTCTCCTCTCCCCCAACTTTTGACGGGAAGATGTCATGGGCGAACTAACTTAAGCAGTTCGAAACAGCTGCCAGAACAAACGATTGGTCTGAACGAGAGAAGGCAATAAATTTGACCATCGCCCTTCGAGGAGACGCTTTGGTATGTCCTTCAGACTATACCCGTAGAACAGAAAGATGATTTTGAACAACTCAAAAAGAGACTAAATATGCGATATGGCCACGAACACTTGGAGTTAGTCACAGTTAAAGAATCGTAAACAGAAACGAAACGAGACTCTTCAGGAATATGAAGTAGATATTGCCAGGTTGGTGCGATTTGCCTATCCATTAGCTCCGGAAAATATGATTGAATGTTTGGCAGTCCAAACATTTGTTGATGGACTCCGTGACTACGAGATGCAAAGAACACTTCGTCTAGCACGTCACAAAACATTGATCGATGTCTTGTCCGCTGCTCTTGAATATGAAGCGGCTACGCTGGCTTCTGGTGGATACAGTGAAGTAAGGACTGTAAAAGGAGAAGAACAGGGAAATAAATTGGACCAACTGTTTTACATGGTTTAACCCTTATTGAGAAGCAACCGAAGACTATCAGATGCTGGAATTGCGGTGAAATGGGAAACGTAAGCAGTTCGCGCAAACGTCCAAAGAACACTACGAATCGAAAAACCGTGCCGGTGGCTGTACAGGAAGGAACGGTGTTACCTGAAAGTAGTGAAACCACGAGTAAGGCGATTGCAAGGAACTGTAGAGAAGGCAACGCCTGTCATGGCGGAACCTTCGAAGCGCAATAGAGGTGTTGGTAAAGGAACTCTGATTGGAAAGGGGTTGGCCACATCTGTTAAAGAAGTTACAGTACGAAGAACGTCGGTTGCCAGCGATGAGTGGGCCCCTGTCAAACTTAGGAGTGGGCCCCTGTCAAACTTAGGAAAGAACAAGAGAACGATACCGTTTTGAAGAAGATAAGAGAATGGAAAGAAGAAAATCGTCGACCTACTTGGCAAGAAGTATCGAAACTCTCTTCCGTAGTTAAATCATATTGGGCACAGTGGGGCTCCTTTATCCTGGAAGATGGCTAATTAAAGCGAGTACTTGAAAATGATTATGGTTCCGAGAATAGAAGACAGTTGGTCATTTCAAGAAGTAGAGTAGCTGAAGTACTCCATCAGTTACACGACAGTCCATCAGGAGGACATCTCGGTGTTAGAAAAACCCTTCAGAGAGTTCGGGAAAGGTTTTACTGGATAAACAGTTCCGATGATGTAAAGGACTGGTGTTAGAAATGTACCACAGTGACCAAGGAAGAAATTTTGAAAGTCAACTTTTCCGTGGAATCTGTGACAGACTGAGCATGAAGAAAACCAGAACCACA